CCCTTTCTCTTTTTTTTCCAAAATTCCCCCCCCAAAAAACTTTTTTTTCCCCCCCCCCCCCCCTCTCTCTCTTGTCTCTCCCAACCACCACAACCCCGTTATTGAGAAGCTTTTCCTTGCTGTGTTTTTGCACACAAGATTTTGCTTCTTCTCCGTCTTCGTCTTCGCCTCCTATGACGTCAATATGAACTTAAATGTTCATCAACACTTTTTTTATCTTTTTATTTCTTTACCAAAAGATTTTTCTTTTGTCTTTTTGCTCAGTAAAGAAGTTCTGCTTCTCATATCATGCATCTTGCATTTGGACAAAAAACAATTTTTTCTCTATGCCATCGTCGATTACATTTTACGGAGAGCAGCACGTGGAGACCGAAATTGGCGATTGAATTTTAATTTTCAACCATTTTTTGGTTAACGTCACATTCCAAATAATAAGGAGCTTAAAGATTATTTCATCTTACGCGTATATATATCTATCTTTGAAGAGAATATTCTGAGATAGATTAATGTCAATGTTTATGTTATGCACGAGTGAATTCATAACTTTGACAAAAAAGTTCAATTTTTTCTTAAAGCCACGCAGAAGCTCACACAATGATTTCGGAGATTTCATCTGATTTCCCAGACTTCGAAAACTTTCTTTCAATTCATTTGTCACGTTCATTCAATTAAATTTATGTGGCAAATTCAAGCATGTGGGTAATCACAGTGGTTTTAAACGCTCAGATAAGAAGCAAACGAAAAGGGAGTAGAACGAGAGCAAAGCTAGAGGATAAGCTTCTATCCAGAATACGCCAAAGGCAATGTTTAACTAATATATTTTGGGAGCTTATAGAAATCTGTTAGTTCCATTTGGTGAAATCTAGTTTCCTTTCCTAATAGCTCAGAAAACGTTGTACCTAAGAGTACTTCCTGCGCTTCCCAACAGTTATATACATGATATGAATTATGAAAGAACCAAACGTCATGTTTTCATTATAGGTGACGACAGTCTACACCATCATCTTTATCATCGGATTAATAGGAAATTTGGTGACATGTGTAGTCATTCGAAGACATCCCATGCTCAAAACGCACAGCAGGTTAATAGCTAGCTATGTCTCAGAAATAAACTTCCTCACTTACAGTCATTATCTTCTAAATTTGGCTTGCGCAGATCTTGTTACACTGTGTGTCGGTTTACCATTTGAGGTTTGTGAACTCTCTGATGCGAACTACAGCCAATTGGAGAAGATCATTCATCTTCATTCATGCACTTCTTCTTCAGGTTGTTATGAATTGGAACCAATATCCTTGGCCGTTTCCGGATTTTGTTTGTAATTTAAAGGCTTTGATCGCTGAAACAACGATGTAAGAGAAATATTTTTTCATCCTTTTGATGAACTTTGTTTGATGCAGCTCCGTGTCCATCTTGACCATTCTATTGTTTTCAATTGAACGTTATATTGCTGTGTGCCATCCATTCATTTTTGTTAAAATGAAACCATTACGTAACAATGTAAGTTTATTCATAAATGGCAAAAACAAAAAATTATCTCAAACACTTAATTGGTCTTGAAGTGATTTTCACGTCATTCTAATAGATTCTCTAACGCATTATTCTTTTGAAAGTTGTTGGTGAAGAGGAGCATTGAAAGTAGATGAATGACGTTGTTTTAAAACGTTTTTTTTTTCAATTCGTAAATCTTCATTAGAAATTCATTTGAATAGGAAAATCCGTCAGAATTCCATCTGATTTCAATCAATGAATTTACATTCGAAATCTGCTTATTCTTCTCCTTTCATATTTCCTTCCAAAAAAAAAAAAATACATTAGGCTTATAAGGCTTTAACCTAATAAAAAACTTTTTTTTCAACACTTCCTCGCTGTGTGGGAAGTTCCAATACATGAAAACTAACAGCTATTCAGCTTCAACTTCACTGATTTGCGCAAAGAAAATTTTTGCGGAAAAAAAACAACAAATCCGTTTCGCACTCTCATGTAACAAGCTCTTCAGGTTCATTACTTTCTGATATTCACATGGGTTATTTCAATCATCTGTGCAATTCCATTTGCCATTCATCATCGAGCAGATTTCATGTTGAAAGACTGGCCATATACAAACAATGGACAGCCGGTAAAGATATTAATTTGAAAATTCAAAAATCTTCTTTTTTCTTCTTCTGCAGGTGATCTCATCAAAGATGTGTATGATAGCTGTAATGTTCGATCATCAACTACTGACGACATTCAAAGTAATCGAATGAAGTCTTTTCTTGTCTTCACACTTAAATCATTTCAGTTTCTATTTCATTTCTCAGCCATTATGTTCTTCGTTATTCCACTCTCTATCATATTCATCTTATATGTTCTAATTTCTTATCATGTAAGTCATATCAGCTCTGCTAAGTGCTCTGAACCCGCGTTCATCTTTCATTTCAGATATCATCTTCACGTAAAGGACTTCAACGATCAGAAACTATAGAGGATGGACATCTGAGAGTCACATTTATATTAAGTACTTTACAAGTTCTTTCAATAATTGCTTTAATCTTTCTTTTCTAGCGGCTATTATCTTAGCCTTCTTTGTTTGTTATCTGCCTTTCCAAATTCAACGTTTGGCTTTTTTCTATTTCGACAACTCAGAGTTCTTTTCAATGCTGAATCAATACGTCTACTTCATCTCCGGTATATAATCATAGTTATCATAAAGCTCAATCATCCATTTCTAGGTTTTCTCTTCTACTTAGCGACAATTATTAATCCAATATTATACAATTTGGTCTCTACTCGTTTCCGCAAAGCTTCTCGAGAAGTTATCATTTCTTTGCTATTCAATCAACCTATTCAATCGCAAAAATTCAAATCAACTGTTAAATACACAATGTAAGTTCAGCATCAAAATATATTTTGTCGACAATTCGATTTCAGTGCTTCACAGAAAAGCCGTAGCGACGAATAGAATAACAGAGCTTTGAATGAAAAATTTTCATTTTGAGAATATGTGCATATTACACCTATTGTTTTAGAAATCAACACTGGTGAAGTAATAAATCTTCGAACATACTACTTACTACATCTCAGAATTCGTATATTGAACACATAGACGTATGTTACGAGAGAATTACTCTGAAAGTTAGTCCTGTGAGACTTGTATCAGCTACTAGTGATATTAGCTTACAGTAAAAACCCTAAAGTCCGTGTACAAAAGATTTAAAGGTTTCTCTGCTTATACACTTTGAGCTCAACCAACTCGCAAGCTCTTCCTCCGTGTCAGAAGCACAACCGAAAACTGTAACCACAAAAACATAAATGAGATTTTCTTTAGAATCATTCTTTCCAAAAATTGTACTCAGCGGTCGGTCATGAGAAGTCAACCGCTAACTAGCAATACTAACTGAGAATGAAAATGGTTTCCCTTTATATCAGTGCGTCTTGTTGCCACATGCGCCGTTCCTCGCTTACACTAGAGAAGAAGGCTGCGGACTACATCAATCTCTTTGATTCACTCACTTGGCTCTATTTTCTAAATATGAGAGCAGCAAACGCTCTTATTTATTATGAGATTTCAAATATTGAGTTCATTCCGGAAACTAAAAACAGTTTTTGTTCAATTCTTCAAGATTCGTGCATTACTGCTCCTAAAGGTTTTAGGCTATATTTTCCTTCGTTCTGTTGTCATTCCAAGAATTTTTGCGATCAACAAGAAGAACAAACAGTTAGAGAAGTAGAAGAGACCGAGTAAGATACACTGAACTAATCTTTAACTTTGTGTTGAGTAACGAGGGCGGCATTCTGAATAGGGGTCGGTCTCTATAGAAGCTAAGGCAATGACACTTGTGTCAACTCGTACTCCTATTCTACAGATTTTAAGTTAAAAAGTATGCGTTCGGGGGGAATCGAACCCCCGTCGAATGCTTGGAAGGCATCCATGCTGACCATTACACCACAAACGCTACATAAACTGCAATCTTATAGCTATACACCATTTGGAAACTAAGATCTCAGAACTCTTCAAATCCAAGGAATGACTATATCCCTCTGAGTATATCAGCAAGTAGTTGGAATCAAAATAAAATTTTCTACGAAACGATCATATAGTGCAAGAGCAAAAGAGTAAGTTCTGAATATTGTGTTGACTGAAAATCGAATGAAAAGTAACTTACAAACTTGATCAGTTTTATGATTTTGTATTCGAACGGTTCACTTGGTAAACGCGTACGAAAAGAAATATAACTCACCAGAACTAACATAATCGTATTGAGAATGCTGATACAGTTCTGCACGAAAGAATACTTTGAATGATCCTGCACTCCGTTTATGGAACTACAAGAAGCATACAGCATTCTGCACAAGCTTGAAGAAATGCTCCCAAATTTCGTTACATAACTCTTCAATTTGGTATATAATTAGGGAACCGTTTGAGTCCAATATGCCATCATATAATTATTACTCAATTTTCAAGCAGGAACTAAATGACATATGATCAGTTGTCTCGATAGAGAAGGAACTCAGGCTTCCCCCATATGATATAAATCAAAAAATGAACTAATACTCGAAGGAAGGGTCTATCAGTCTCTGTGAATAACAGTTTGATATCGGATTTGAACCTGTTGATAAGACATTTGTCTGATGTTCCCTTGTAGATTGATAAGACACTCATCTTCCATAATCGCAGAAACAGAAAGTTAAAAAAAAATTTTATTACCTACATATGAAACTCTATAAAAACATTAAATTATGCACTTAATGTGGCCTATGTTCACATTTTCTTAAATCTTAAAGTTTGACCTAACGAATGATACATGACATAAATACATCAAGGCCGCATGGAAGTGGAAGCCTAGCGAGTTAGAAAAAACCTGGCTTAAAATAGAATATTAGCAATTGTAAGAGCACCCTCGAGAATAAATGTTACCCCGATTTTAAATAAGCACTTAGTTTTGAAAATTAGAGCGTTAATTATTTCATACTACAAAACATCACAAAGCCCTTTGACCAGCATACTAAAACAATGAAAAGGCAGCTTTCATCAGTTCAAATAACTGAAACTAAAACAAAACTGAGCACAAACAGATAAAAATTAGCGCTTCAGTCAGAAAGAACACGATCTTTGTTACAGTAAAATTCTTACTCTCTCGTGCGGAGAAAAGACTACCAGTAAAAGGATTAGGAGCAAATATCACATTGAGCCCCGATAAGATTCACTAACTTAACATTAGGCGCCGGAGTTAAGGGTGGAATCAAATTCAAAGCGAATTAGTTTAAGTGGAACAGAAACAGAAGTTTTAGTTGTCTTTGTGAGTAGCTTTACCAGCTGCTTTACTATGGGGGATTTTAGCTTTCTGCCAGAACGCATCCTGAATTGAGAATCCATCAATTGTGGCTCCCAAGTGTTTTGTTGGAATTTGTGAGAACGACTTTCCTCCCGAATCGTATCTAAAACAACAATTACACAAAGTTATTCTACTTGTACTAACTTGAACATCAGATTCATCATGTCTTCCCTACATTTTGAAGGTCCTTGCCCAGAAATTTTCTCGACCGTATCGGATTGCTAAAACACGGATAATATATTGAGAAAGGAAGCTTGCACTTTACTTGATCCCAGGCATATAGTCCGCGGTATTGGCACTTATGATCCCTGAACAAAATGAGAAAATGCTTAGCAATTGACGTTGCTAAATCATTCATAGTCTTCGTCCGAATAGAATCATTCACTGCTCCAGGGAAGACACTGTATTGAAGAGCATTAACCATCAGTCCTCTATTCGATTTAGGAACGACTTTTGAATACAGTTTATGTGCTAAAGATATGCATCGTATTGCTCAAAGTATTATTCACAAACTTGGTTCCTGTAAACTCTGAACGGATATTCTCTGTTCAACAGTTGAAGCACCACGGAGACGAGGAGGAGTGGCCGAAGATGTAGATGTAGTCATCTAAATGCGATAGATGGGAGCGCTTACAAGCTCGTCTAACCTGAGATTTCGTTCTCTCAAATGGTGGCTGTGATTGTCCTCTTGCCGAATTCAATCTCGCTGATGAAACTTCGCCCAAATCTTTTTCCATCTTCTTCCTTTTATAGTCTTCTAGTATTTTTTGTCTAGAACGAAAGGAATAAACAATTTTTTAACTAATCAAGAAACCTTTGCATCTCCTTCTCCACTTTCCTCTGCTCGGCCATCTCTCTCTTTGCTTCTTCGGCTAATTTCCGCTCCATGTTCCTCTGCTCAATTTGATCCATCTAATTAAGTTTGTTAGATTGATATGATGTTAAACTTTACCTTCACACCAGACTCTTCTTTCCTCTTCATCGTCTTTGCAAGCAAAGCGGCTTTCTTGGCTTCTCTCCGTTGTTCAGCTATCTTGTCAAAATCCGAAGCGGCTTGTTCATCAGTAACCACAAACACGGGAGCAGCAGGTGCAGCAGATGACCTGAAAAAAAGTGTGAAGCTACAAGCAATAGTTATAGTCATACTTCAATGCAGAATCTACATTGGAGGCGCTATTATTCAGAATGTGTTGAGAATTCACGCCTGGGTCACGAGGTGGCGAAGAATACTGGGATGTTTGATCTGGATCATTGACTAAATTACCATTATTTGTGAGAAAATCAAATTTTTGATAGACCTGCTTGTTGTTTGTCTTCATCAGTAATACTCTCATCTTTAGAATCACGAGATTTCCGCATCGTACCAACTACAGAGGGAGATCTTCTCTGAGCGTTAAAATCCTTGAACGCAAAACGAATATGCAAGATTCAAAAAAATAAAAAAAACCTCGGAATCAGTTACTACTGGTACGAGATCAGGATGGTTAACCAAATCCATCTCGTTCTTGATGAATGTTTGGTTTTCCCACATACGACGTTGGTTTCTGCCAGGTGTATGGCCCTTAAAGTTGAGGCGTTCAATATTGCATGATCGTAAAACAAAGTAGTTGCATATAATAAGCAAAACTTACAGCCTTCATAGTCATTCCCCAATTTGTTAAGTTCCTATTTAGTTCTAGGGGCGGATCAAGGCGGCTATTCGAAGTCTGAATATATCAATGTACCACGTATTGACTCATATTAAAATAAAGGTAGAAACTTTGAAAAAAAAACTGAAACTGACATCGTTACTATGCAATCTAAAAGTGCCAGCATTGGAATGACTTTCGAAACCATTGGGAGGCATATTTTCAGGGGTCCCGGCATAGGAGAAATTACTGGGGTGTTGCTGCTGGTGATAAGCATTTTGTTGTTGATGCTGTAGATCAAGCGGTGTAACACCTTGATATGGGGAGTTCTGTATTTGAGAATAGTCAAAATTTGGTGAGCTCATCACAACAGAACCTGGCCAAATGGAGGCATCATCATCTGTTGTGCTTGCTGCGGCTGTTGCTGTTGGTGCATAGAGAAGCCAGTGGAAGCATGAGCAGATTGGTGCATGGGGTTCTGAACCTTGCTCTTACTGCACTCCTTGTATAGATGAGAACTTACCAACTGGAATCCAGGTTGAGGTCCCATTTGATGCGGAGAGTTATATACAGAATATTGACCTGGAAGAAAACGTAAAGAGTACTCTCTGATCAATGTCTAACCTTGCGAGTAAAGTTGCTGTTGCTGGGGAGATTGCTGATAATCGTAAGGAGATTGACCAGCTGGTAAATAATTGATCATGCCATTGCTCAAACTTGATCTCATCTAGAATCTTTTGTTTGCACTGTAAAAAAAAAAAGAATCACCTGTGTTTGAGGTTGTTGTTGTTGAGGTTGCGCGTAGTGTCCGTCTTGTGCAACATATCCTCCGTAATATGGGTCATACTGCTGTTGAGGCTGTTGTTGATATCCCCCTCGAGGAACAGCAAAATCCGGTCTAGCTGATGCAGGTTGTAAATCTGGTACATAAGATTTAATAACAAAAAAAACTTAACGTTTGATCATACCCTGATACACACTAGGCTGACTAACTGTTCTACCTAAACGAGAATCTCGTCCAATTTGCATATTCGTAAATTGTTCCTCCAACGCTTCCATTTTCTTCACTACTGTTTCTAGTAACTTCATGTCATTTTGATTCTGTGTAGCACTCTGGAATTTATTGAATTAACTAGGGCTATAAAACATTCAAATACTTTTGCTTGATTCATCACAGCAAAGAAAGCGGCTTTACCCTTCTCTGCTCTCTCTGATTCCGTTAAGCTGCTGAAAAAAAAGCATTAAAAAGAGCAGAACTAGAGAAATTACTTTTGCATGAGTTTACGCATCTCATGGTCACGTCGTTTCTCCTCAAGTTGTAACCGGATGGAAGCTCCTGGTAATGAATCACTCCTCGTGTATTGACCAACTTGAGACAAGTTTCCATTCGAACCATGTTCAGCCTTTACAAACACCGATCATGATTTTCGAAAAGGTGAAACGACAAACCTGGTTAAGTCTACCGAAGTTAGTGACATTGGCCCCCCAGTGTTCTGGCGATCTTTGGAACTGATTAGCTCTCCATGTATCATTAGATCTGAGAAAAAAGTGTATGCAGAGTGATAACAGCTTAGTTGTTACCTATTAGTCATCAAACTATCTTGACTCATCATGCTCATACTTCGAGTTGGTGTTGTTTGACTAACATGAACGCTAAATGGATTTCTCACTCTGAAAAAGAAAAAACATAACAGGATTGAAAAGCATCGAATACCTGGGAGGGTGCGCACTTCTCGCAGCAACATTGGCTGCCCTTAAATCAGAAAAGGGCTGGATAGGAACGAATCTGCGCGGTGACTGAACTTCCATTTGTGGAGGAACTAAGAGCAATGTTCAGTGAAAATTTTTACATGAAATAACTTACTGATTGGTGCAGGTTCGAAAACTTCAAACAAATCAGCTAGGAATACATTAATATTCATTTGAAGGGAATCATGTAAATATAATATATCTTCAACTTCGAAGTGGAATATATTTAGTGGAAGATTATTGCGACAAAATTCTCTGAATTTGAGTTTGTCAAGAATGCTCTTCATCAGAAAATCACCTTAACAACGTCAAATTGTACTGACAGTCCGGGTTACTCATTTGCTCATTGAAACACACTTCTGCAAGCTAATGGTCAAAGCACGACAACACTCAATCTTATTCAGTTTCTAATAATCGCATCCGATGAAAGTACTGTTACTTTTAAAATTCAAATGTTCATATGTTGTGACTTGCGAACGTTTACAGGTTTGTGAATAGTAAACAAACCCTGTATATCCATCTCTCGAGGACGATAAAAAGCAATCATAGCACAGAGACACTGTCCATCACTAATATCATCATATAAATCCTCCATTTCTGGTATCATACCACCATCATCACTTCCTTCAGAGTAAGCTTAACTGTGTGTATCTTATATATGTTTCGAGTCTACCTTTGAGCATAATTTGTGATCTCTCAACTTCATCTCTGATAAGCAAACAAATTTTATTAATCCAGAATAACAAAGCATCCGCTGAATCCATTGGTCGCTCCCGATCGTCAACACTTGTATGTCGGCTTCAAAGAAGGAAAATGAATGCTCAAAGAGAAAAAACTATACCTGACGGATTCTACAACTCTCTCTACGGTAATAACATCTCGCAAATGAGCTAACATCAAAGCGTCCATCACAGCCAGGTGAGCTGACTAAATATACACAGTTAGAACAAAGTTGAAATATGAAAAACTGACCGTTCTAAATTCCCTACAGGTAAGATCACTATCCACGACAGGCTGTCCTCCCTCTTCAGGCCTATGGATAACATCAATTCCATAATCAGTTAGAGCAGCGAGAACAGCTGCAGGAGATGCCTAGAAAATTCAAATTTACACCACAATCCCTTTCAAACATGAGAGCATGTGGTCTCGATAAGTGAAACAAAATCAAAAGAACGTGATTCTTGTCAATTCAATTACAATCAGAACAAAATGTAGGACGCTAAAGAAGATGAGTACGTCAGAACAAATTAAGATATCGATATTTAACTAATCAAAAATTGCTTAATCAGCGATCATTAAGCTACAAAAATAATAGCTAACCTGAACTAAATGTGGTTCTTTGAAGATTTTAGCAGCAGCCATATTGTAGAGACTTCCATTGATTAATCCAAACAAGACGGATTGGTCAACTTGAAGTCTCAGCTAAGAAAATGATTATAGAGATTCGAGTTATTATTGATTTTACCTTGTCATCTCTACTTATTCCATTTCGTAACTTATCAGGAATGTCACATTCTTTTTCATAAACTCTATTGATCAACCATCGCAATGACGCAGCTAACTTTCCCTGAAATAAGCTTGGTTTAATGGGTTAAGAGATACATTTTTCGGGCATGGGAAGCATTGGAGACACAAGTTCTAAGCAATTATGAGGTTTCATTATTCCAGAAGATATCTTAACGTCTGGGAAGAAAGCCGTTTTAACCACATATTGAAGATTACAGCTCGTCTCGACAGAAAAAGACTCTTCACGTCACTTAAATCTTCATTTTCCATAAATCTTTTGGACAAAACATAATCAATTAGCATATCTTATCCCGAATCACCAAACCCCTCACTTTCTGCTAATAATAATCGTATATCCTTTATGAAAATCGTGAACCCGTTTGCCACACCCTCAGAGAAAGGGATGTCGACAATGAAAAAGCAAAGCAATTTTAAATGCTGTCGTTTCCTGACTATTATTGTCCTACTCGAAAGCTTCAAATCATCGAGCGCTTTAAGACTATACACCCAAATTAAAAACTGAACAACCCGTTACTACCGGTAACAAGAAATAGTTTCAAAATGAGCAAAAAACGATCCATTAACCAATAAAAGAAACATATCATTGATTTGTTATGCTCTTTGAAACATTCCCAAGAGAACTGCCAGCATATCCTTAGCATGACTTGCATTATAGAATAGAAGAAAGACATTCCAGAAAGCTATTCTTCATCAAATCCACTACTCGACTCTATCATCAGAAAAGACAGAATAATCTTGGCTTATGACACAGGATGAACTCATTGAACATACATATTGAGCTATTCTACTATTTCACTCTCATCTCCAATGCAAACGATCATGAATTCAACAAGAAGTCAAGAGAAAGGAATGAAAAGAAACTCTCGCATTTACGACACATACAATTTTAGGACTATGACATGGAGGAGCAAAGCACTGATGAATGAATATTAAGCATTTAGAAAAGTGTTCAACCTTCTGGTAAAATAACTTACTTCTGTCTCGGAGTATTCATCGGCAGGAACAAGCAGTGGTAATACGATGTCCCCCATTTTAAGTGGGACTTTCAACAATTAATACTATCAAACCATACGATTTCAAATCAGTTTGATCCAAAATTCTGGAAATTAGGTTAAATTAACGAGGTAAACTTGACTAAAATTTTAGTTTGAATATGAAGCATACAGCTTGGAGAGCTCAAAATCACAGAAAATGCTTCAATGCGACGAAATAGATATTAAAATCTTAGCATAAGGTGAGAATTTGGCGAAACAAAGCACTGGAGAGATAATCAAAGAGAATATTAAAATTAATGATGACTCATAGGCACGTTTAAATGCGACAGAACAGATTGAAACCTGGAACATCAGGCTAATAAAATTGAAAGTTGGTCAGAATAGTTGAGAAGTATGCTCGGACACACAATAATGACCATATTTCCACATATGGTTCACATAGCCATAGATAGAAAGTGGAATACGGTAATGAAAAAGCGTAAACATCTATGTAAAATCTAATAATGAACCAACAAGACTGGGAAAAATAGAGACAAACAAAATTTGAACCGAAGGCTTCATTCACAGAAGATTTACCCAAAACTGATGAAGCTTAGAGATGTGACGCTATTCAGTCGCTCGTTCTTCATCTATCGTAGGGCGTTTGCGGCCGCACGCTCGCACGCTATCTTGCGAGCAGAAGAGGTTAGCGTTAGAGCGCAAACGGTCAGCAATACTTCCTCACACACATACACCATTCTCGATCTAAGATCGTAATCAGTTTAGATAAGCCCGTTTATGGAATATTATTCATAAGGCAAATTCATGCTGATTTCGATTAGAGAAAGAGAGAGAGAGAGAGTCTTCTCTCTCTAGTTTACAATAAACATTTGTCGTGAGTAAACTACAATCATTGAGGTGACAGGAGTAAGCGTTAAGAGATAATACTAACAAAATTGAAATTTTGGAATGATTAGGAGACACAATGATAAAGGAAACTTAAGTTTCTTCAAACTCTCGAGAAAAAAAGCGACTACTAACCGCCTTCCCCATTGAGAGGCTAAATCTGGTGCTAACAGTCCATTGTTTACAATTCGCATTTCGTCTTTTCAAAAGTTGATTGTTCGAATCATATTAAGTGGCCGCTGTAATTTCGAAAAGATTTTCTGATGATCTCAGAAAGGGAAGAAAACTTACATTTCATAAGAGTTCGGCCAGGATCAATTCCTATGAGCAACCGCTCCCCGTCAACTAGCTTCAAAAAATGAATTTGAAAATTACACGCCTCAAGTTAAATCTCAATGTCCCAGAAACAATATTATGCGCTTGAATAGAATATTTATATGAAAGATCGTGTATTTCATGTTCTCCAGAACATAATAATAATTATGTTTAAAATGACGGAAGAGGTAGATTGTGTTTCCTCTTCATTACATCTCGATTCTTCTACTCAACATATTTTCCTGAAATCTCCAACTAATTTCTTACAGTTTTTGCAAGATGTTTTCTCAGTTAAAACATTTTGAACTTTTAATGTAAGACTACGAACAGTAAGTAATTCATTTATTTGTTCATACACAACAACTTTTCTTGAGAATGATGACTGCGTTCCTGATGTTGTAGAGGAAGAACAACTGACGTCTCAGAAATTCGATGGCAACATTCCGCCCACCCACCAATATATCCGCAATCACTTACGTTTCCTTATTATTATAGTATTATGTGTGTGATTTTATTTGTATTTTACGATGTCATCTGGTCAGCATCGCTGTTGAAGATGAAGAGAAGAGTGATTTGAACAATAAAAATTTTTTCCAAACCATTGGATCATCGATGATCATTCTTCAGCTACTACACATTATTTGCTATTCTGGATCATCCAATTGGCAATAGAAGAATATATTCAAATAAGGGTTTAGAGCTCACTGAGAGCTTTAGGGGAATAGTGAAAAAAAGTTTTTTGAAGATTGTCATTGACTAATGAGAGCTTGATTCTAAAATTTTCGTAAAACATTTGTCCTCATCTAATTGATGCTGCCAATGAGCATCAGTTGTCCTCTCTATCTTATTGCTTTTCCACCATCCTTCTTCAAATTCAATGAACATTCGTGATAACTCATGAGTTTATTCGTCAGTTCAGACTTTGAAAACTAGCGTATGAAAACCTCTCATATGTTTTAATCATTTTTTGTAGTTTTACATGAGTACTTATCAAAACAAACGCTGGTTTTCCTGTACTTTCCACTCCCTTGACTTGTCTACCTCCAGCAAGCTTTTCGTTTTCCATTGTGTTCTCTACCTTCGTGAACTCTGAGATTTCGACTTCAAATCTTTTTTTTTTGCTTTATTCTCCTTTCTTTTTTGTCTGTCAGGATAATTCCAGCTTTGTTCTGAAACGTTCTCTTTTACTCTCTCAGCATTTTGTTGATTCCACCTTAATGTTGTCCAATTTTGCCAGTTCCAACCGGAATTCAAAGAGCTTAAAGTCAACTCACGTGGAACCAAATGATTTCAAAGCAAACCTTGTTTGGAATATTTTGCCTTTTTCTCGTACCTATTAGTCAGCAAAGCAGTATCGTTACAAAAGTTTAAAGTTTTATCTAGTGATGTTCTTAATCTGTCTCAAAGTTAACGAAGAATTCCTCGACTAACTCAAGAAAACGTTTGAGTTATATTTTACACTCAGATTTGCTGGAAACTTTAAACTTCTCATAGATTTCATAAGAAAACAATCTATCATTGAAACGACGTTGCTTGACAGTTCTGAACTTACGTGTTTTTGTTTTTTTTTCCTAATGATTTTCTGTTCAATTTTCGAAGGTAGTGATGCCAGAGCCAACCATTGCAAAGAATGTCAGTAAAATTTCGAGTCAGCTGAAAGATGGTGTCAAAGGTAACAAATCTATTAGTTTTCTAGATTTTATTCTATTTTTGTTCAAGGTTTGTTTCCACTTTTCGGATTGATCGCTTACACAGTGCTCGGAGCAATTCTTTTCCAAGAGCTCGAGTATCCTTATGAGAAGTTCACTTTGGAAACTCTTCAAAAAGATAGAGCAAAACTTGTAGAGGTAATCATGAAACTAGCACCGTTAACCAACTAACCAACATCTGACAATTCTTTTAGGATACCATTTTTTCCTTAAATACTCGTCCAAGAGGTGGAGCAATCAATGACTATAATAACACGAGACGGATTTTACTGCGGTATAACGAAAAACTGGGGTTAGATGAGGTTAGACATTCTGAAGACGTATTTCTTCACACAACTCGATAGGTCGATCCTGAAGCTCAAGTACGCTGGAGTTTTTGGGGGTCTGTCTTCTATTGTATGACTGTATATACTACGATTGGTATAATTCTTATCACAATAACCAATTGTTAACACTCTACCGTTAAGGATATGGTAATATCGCTCCAGTCACTACAGGAGGTAGAATCTTGACCATAATATACGCATTTCTCGGAATCCCTCTGGCTCTCATTGTGCTCTATTCTTTGGGTTAGAGAATATATCCAGGCTAATTTTGTTTCTTGTTTGCAGGTCTCATATTTGCAAGAATATGTCGGTGGCTCTGGAAAGCCCTGATCAAATCAACAAAAGTTGTTTCCAAAGACTTAGGACAGAAAGTAGAAGATGCTGTTGGAATCGAAGAAGGACAAGCCGTAAGAGAACTATCTCTAAAGATGCGCTGTTTATTTGATCGTTTAGAAAACAGCTGAAAATGATGATGATGATCTTCTGTCTTTCCCTATCAGTTTTCTGATTTTTGTGACTGTTATGTGGATTTTCATTTGTGCTGCCATTTTCCTCCTTTTCGAAGAATGGGATTACGGTTATATTTTGATGTTCTAAAGATTCAGAAAATTTTCATTCTAGGTACTTCCCTCTATTTTACTCTCATTTCTTTCACTACGATCGGATTCGGAGATATTGTACCTTCGGAATTCTCTTACGTTGTTGTTGTGGCCTTATTACTTTTGATAGGACTCTCTCTGGTGTCCACAGTTTTGACCCTCATTCAGCAGCAGATTCAAGCCCTTGCCAGTGTTTGTTTTTCCATTTGCTTTTTGTTATTTCTAATTGCCTTGTAGGGGATGCAAGAAAATATTGACCGTGAATATATGAATGCTTTGGCAGAAGCTGCGGATGAAGGAGAAATTTCTGATGAGGACGTACGCAAGATGAGTAGTGGGGATATTTTGAAAAATCCTGAAGGTGAGAAAAGATAATTGAACAGCCGTGTTTTCAAATCACAAAAACAATTTTTCAATCTCTGAGATATTTAAGTGAAAGAAAAAGATAACCTCAAAAACATCGAAATGAAAATTCAACTTTTAGATCAGAAAACGAAGAAAACCATGGACGCCGTAATCTCTAGAATGCCCATGAAAGAAAGAGTTCTCTATCACATTATGCCAGCTTCTGCTAAGAAGGCTCTCGAACAAAGTGCTGATAGCAAATCTCGTAGAAGGACATGCGCTTGCCAAACTGACATGGTTCTATTAGAGGTTCGTTCAGATCTTTTTTCTTCCCGTTGAGCACTCAATGCATCACCATATCCTTTAGAATCCTTTTCTCTTGGGACCCCTTCACTACAATGCTCACGGGGATATAGAATGCACTTTCACACCTTCTTTTCAGGATTTAATTAAGGAAGAACTACTGAAAATGGAACTACAGTCAGGATCATCTATCATGGATAGATCTGCTGGTAGAATGTCCGAAAAGACTCCCATCACTCCCACTTCACCTAGTGGTCCATCCACTAGTTTTGTCATGCCTAGCCGCACAACTAAATTCCAAAGCCAGAACACTGAAGAGGAAGAAGTAGAGGACGCACCCAGAGCCCCCGTTCGAAGCTTCAAAATAGAGAAAGTCACACCCATAGAACAGTCAGCTGAACCAAGCACCATCACAACCACATTGATTAAAGAGGATGATGTGTAAGCATGGGAATGTAATCAAAATCACCAAGTCTTACACATACTTTCATAAACCTAGTGCCAATGACAATGTTTGTGAAAGGCGACTTGCATGACGAACCACTCCCCTATCCACATTTTCCTCACATTTCGCACTTTTCCCCTTGTTTAATCGAAAACGAAAGTATTTTTAATTGATTGTTCTGTGCACATGTCCTCATTGGGATGCTCACAATAATTTAAACAAAAAGGTTGTTTTAGGAACTCATTCGTAGACGACGCATTAGACGGATTGTACAAGAGAACAAGATGAAAAAAGTCCGTTCACCTAGACAGCCCAGAATCATTTTTAAAGTTTGACCTCCTCTCTATAATGTCCTTTGTCTTCCAAAAAAGCTCAATTGTAATTTCGTTCCTTTCTTCCTTATTTGTCGTCGAGAAAATGTCAATAACATATATCTACATGAAAATATTATTCGAAACCAAATGAGCTTTCAAACTGATGTCAAGAAAGATCAAACACTATCTTAATCAGCGATACCAAAAAAAGATGAAACAGAGGCCAGAATTCGGTTAGTCGAATCACTACGTGTGCGTCTCCAATTATGGGAGATAGGAGTTCTAAAATCACTTTGACAGATTGTTTCTGCTCTCTTTCGAACTAATCTTCAATCAGGACTATTCCTATGTTTGCTCATTTCACTCTCGTCACCAATAAATGCTACGTATGTCGAAATGGAAAGAAAAGGCGAAAAGAGAGAGAGAGTGAGGAAATATGAAAGAGAAAAGTGAACAACCAAAAGCTGTGGGATCGGAGAACTCACTTCATACGAAGACCGGATTTCCTCATCACAACGCCCTATGACTTACCCTTCTTGTCATCTCTCTCTCTTTTTTTTCTCTTCGTCATGTTTGTATCAGTTTTCTTCTCTATAAAACTAGTCTAACCTTGCTTTTCATGGAAAGACGTGAACATACACGTCTTCCAGCACATCCTATCTCTAAGACTGCCATTACAGCTTCACTATTGCCCGTCTTCCTGTGAAGGCAGCTACACTATTTTTCTGCTAAACATCATGCAATCATATAGGACACGCCCACAAAACCATGCCTGATTCGCGTGCGCCATACCCAGTCAGCTGTTTTGCAGAAGCTTTGACAGTTAAATTTTTTCTAAGCTATTCATTGAACGGCTTCCCAGACATAGCGGCTCCAAATTTGCATCATAAGACGTATTGATCACGATTTCTGCCGGAAACCGAAAGTCTCAGATTCTATGCTAGCTGAAACTACGCGTTCAAAAATTCTTCCAAGCGCTAAAAATAAAAATGCGATTATGAAACTTTTTTTAAATTTACAATTACATCAAGTTCTATGAATGTTGTATCTTCGTTTGTTTTTTTGTTTCTGTGTAAACACACTTACAGTTGTGATAATTTATTCTAGTTATTTCTTTATTTTTGAAGAAGTTTTAGATTGCAAGGTTGGGTTATGGACTAAGTTCAAACCCTTTCGGGTCAATCTCTCAATGAGTACTGATTGCAATCAGGTTTTTTTTGTTTGTCAATGTTTTTTATGTGTCGTATCATAGACCTGACATTTTGATATGGAGAATTTCATACTTTCATCCGATTGTCAGCACGCTCAGGGTGGGCTTTGCTCCAAGTAATATCCCCACTGTTCATTACTTTTCTCTAATGTGATAAGTTCAGATGTGTCCTTAATCAAACTTTCTCAATATCACAGGCAGAAGATAGGAGGCGGCGAAATACATCAAATAACTCTATCAAGAACATCGGTTCACCACACTCGAAGTGCTTTATTTGACGATTTCTTTAAGGTAATTTAAACAGTAGGAATGGTTCGAGCACGAGTATCAACTCTCAGGCGAAGGAAAAGGAGGATTCTAGCGTGTGTTTCTCAACTCTTTTTAAATTGTAAATTTACTATCTTAGATTCACAGTCCACCTGTGAGCTTGCCCGTGCTGACGACTCAGCCTCAGAATGATTCCGTAAGTATATAACTTCAACTCTTCTTTTTTCAATTCTGAATACTCAGATCGATTGTAATGAGACTCCCGAGTATGTTTCGTTTGGTGATTTGTTTGCGAATGTTAAAATTCAAGAAGAAAATAACAAGGAAATCGAACGGATGGTTAAGCTTGTAAGTTTTGCGTTTCAAGAAGTTGATTAAGTCGCAAATGTAGAGCCCCAGAGTGGAAGAGACGGATTCATTGCTTATGAGACTGTTCAAATCTGATTTATTTACTTTACCGATTGCTCTTCAGTACTTGCATTCGTCTACTGAAAAAGGTATTCAGGAGTATTTAGGTAAGTAAGATTTTATGTTGAAAAGCCTAATATTTTCTTAATTTTCAGGGAGCCGTCTAGTAGAATTTCCGGATAAGGACGTAGATTTTTATATTCCCCAATTAATTCATTTATATGTTCATCAAAGTGGAGTTGCTAATGCTCTTCAAAATTATATGGAAATGAGGTTATACTTACACCAATTTCGCACTAATGATTACTTAAGGTGTAAAAGAAGCGTGCACTTCTCATTACTTTGTCTTTGGCTATTGGAATCTTTCGCACCACGTGGAGTGCGATTCAAAACAACATCTAACAATGCCGAAAAATTACGGTTCGTTCTTTTCTCATACTTCAACAGTGTTTCGCATTGAAGGCAATCGATTCTGAATGGTTTTGGAGCCGAGAACCAAGTTCTTTTGTTGTCGAAAAACCTTGATGTTCAGAACGTATCTATTAGGATGAACGTATCGTTGCGTAAGATTCAAAAACCATCCTTATTTCATTCAACATTCTTTTTTAGTTAGTCCTGCAAGTTTGGATTTTAGGTTATCAAGATCAGAAAGCGCTGCATCTTCTCTCTTCTGTTTGGCTCCTTCATCACTTGCACTAGGTACGTTGTTTTATACTTATGTTCTATACATATCTTTTTCTCTTCAGGTAGGACATTGGAAGATGCTTGCGAATGCCTTTTAACAACTTCAAATGAAATTTGCCAGTGTAAATACAATGTAAGGATTAAGTTTCAGTTAGCCATTTAATGTTCGAATTCTTTAGCCTAAACGTTTAACCATTGAAAAGGAGTTTGTTTCTTGGCTTACTGGTATAGGATTGAAACTCACAGGTTTCCCTACGAAACAGGAAAAAGTTTATCTCATTTTTCAAACGGTTGCATATGAAATTGAATTTTAGACAAGGCAGTTAATTAACGAACTTGAAATGCTGAATATGCATTTACCTGCAAGGGTTTGGATTCCTCTTCATGAAAACCACATAGTTCTTCGTATTCCTCCAACTAATAGCTGTGTCTTGAACAGCAAAGACAAAGTCAGTGTTTTCTTTCTCGTTGTATGACGGTACTGTTTCTTTAGGCGCCATATTGCATTTATGTGGAAATCTTGCATTGTGATACACGCACAGTTAAAGTGCCAAAACGACTGAGTGAATCGGATAATGAACTCATCTATCACTTGCGGTAACGGTCTCAGTTGTCTTATTTTTTCATCATTTTTCTGCAGGAACGAATCGCCCGATTTAAGTGGGAGTAATCCGTTTGAGAATCCTCTGAATTTTGACTACGATACTCATGAAATCACGGTTGTGGACGATGCCCGATCCGAGGTAAATCACATAGATGAAAAATTAACTCAAGACGTTTTCTACAGATGTTGCGGGAAAGTAGCGTTGCCCCTGATCCGGCCTGGGACACTATGTCGCTCGAAACTTCTGTGTCAGAGCCCGTTTTAGGCAGCAACTACTTACAAGCCAGAAAATTGGGACGAAAATTCAAGAGCTTGGTTAGGTTCAATGTTCCTATCAGACTCATACGTCTTGTCCGTTTAGATGAAAGCTCATCCAGACGACCCGTCAGCTTCTACTTTGAGCGAGCCGTGGGATGAAAAAAGAGAAAGGATTCGATTAGCTAGTCCTTACTGTCGGATGCCTGGATGGGATCTTTTACCCGTAATTGTGAAGAGTGGAGATGACCTCTCACAGGAACTTTTGGCTTATCAATTGTTGCATACATTCAAGGTTTTTTTATTCTACAACTACTGTATCACAATTGAATATTCAGTCGATTTGGGCTGAAGAGAAAGTAAGCCTTTATTTACGTCCATATAGAATATTAGTAACGTCCACCGATTCCGGTATGATCGAGCCTGTTGTTGATGCATGTTCTCTACATCAGGTACTAGGAGATAGTGTTTTTTCATATACAAGTTCATAATTTAGATTAAACGCAATCAATACACTGTTATGAAAGAAGAAGGAAAAACTGGAACTCCTTGTTTATTAGATTACTTTGTGGATACTTTCGGACCGAAAAGATCAGATTCGTATATGAGGTTTCTTCTTTCGCTCTTGTTCCTTTTTGACATTTATTTCCAAGAGCTCAATTGAACTTTGTTGAAAGTTGTGCTGGTTATTCCCTACTTTGCTATTATCTCCAGTTGAAAGACAGGTCTGAGTTTATTCTCGCTTCTTCCTTCAATGGTTCATTGCCTTGCAGACATAATGGTAACATTCTCATAGATTCCGAGGGGCATCTTATCCACATTGATTTTGGATTTATTCTCTCTTCATCTCCAAGGAACTTAGGCTTTGAAACAGCTTCTTTCAAACTCACTACAGAATTTAGTAATTTTTCTGAAATTTGGTAACATTGTTCAGTGCGCACTTTCAGTTGACGTCATGGATGGTTTTAATTCCCCCCTGTTCTGCTATTATAAGGTTTTGATAATAAAAGGGTTGATTGCTACAAGGAAGCACCATGAGAAAATTCTCTCACTCGTAGATATGATGAGTAAAAGTGGGTTGAACAAGCTCATTGGACTTTCACTGAACATTATTATTCTAGGCTCAAGATTGCCGTGCTTCCGTGCAGGGCCTGCTGTCGTCAAAGCTTTGCAAGAGCGTTTCCATATAAACTATACAGATAAACAGTTAGAAGTTTTGGTGAGTTGGACACATTCACAATGTCTCAGGAAGAAGGCCATTTCAGGTGAATACGATGGTTGATCAGAATCGGGACTCCTTAACTACACGCTTGTACGATAATTTCCAATATTATACGAATGGCATCCTGTAATTTCCTCCCAACGGGTTTTTTTTATAATGACTTCTTCCGCTCCTCACATCACTACCTTTATCAAGATTCCTGGAATCTCCTATGTTCTTTCACTATGCTCTCGCTGTCATTTCCCTGTGTCACATCTTCCTGTGATTAGATTTTTTTTCTGTGATTTAGTATTATCATTATTATCGACTCAGTTCTCTTCAGATTGTGGCTAGCTATTAATTAATCTAATACTTCGCTCATCTTTATGTTTTACTTACTCTTAGTCATTTTTGTTTGTTATCGAGGTCGCAAAATTCCTTTTCTTTTCTTTTCTCGTCCCCCAAACGAATTGTCAAAATCTTGAACAGTCGTTAAAGCTTTATTTTTGTAGAAAAGATGGATTTTTTCCACTCTGTCTTTCTCGCCATCGTGTGTGTAATTTTCAATCTTTGATAGAATTCTATTTGTATATGAAAAAAAAAGTTTTTTTTCGATTTCCTTCCTAGCATTTCACGGATCACCAATCAATACTTTTCATTATTCATTTATACGTTACATGAACGGGTTGAAGATGGACGCGGAACGCTTGGAGATGATGCTTTTTGACGATCAGCGAATCGTTACCGCGCTGACTCTTTCTAGGCATTCGGGCTCCCTTGTTGAAGACGCCAAAGAGTAAATTCTTTGATATAGGATACTTCTTTTTTACGTATTCTTCAGGAGCATTACTTCGTTCTATGAGTCTAATAAAGGAAAAAACGGATTATGGGCCATCTACTCCATCACTGGTGATATGGAACGTCAGGGTTAGATCATTCCGCTTTTTTTCAAGCAAAAAAATGATAGGTATCGTTTGCAAATCCACCGTGTTGGCAAAAGAGTCGGAGCTGGAAGAGAAGAAAAGTAATTTTCAGAAAATTACAGCCTCAGAAGTTTTCAGTTTACAAGTCAGAGATGTCGAGGTTTCTTTGAGTTGAATAGCTAAGTATTAGTCTACGATTCTTTGTAGGACGTATACTCAGTTTTTCTTGCTGATATGATGGAAGACAAAGATTTTTTTCGTTCCGATAACGACAGAGCCCCCATCAAAACGAAGAAAATAGAATATTTCCGTCAAATCATGGAGACAAATCATAAGGATCAACTTGAGCTTATCGCTAAAACCATTGAGCTTTCAAAGACTGCTGGAGTTAAGCCTGTGGTAACGAAGAAGTCTACAATTGTTGACAAGAAGCCCGATATTAAAAAAATGTTCGAGAAGGCTTGTACAAAAGAAAAAACACCCAGAGTACGATTTGAATTTGAGGAAAAAGTTGACTGACTATTTCAGAACTCTCCAAAGAAGGAAGTTAGAGAAAGTCCCTTTTCCTCTCCTGAAGAAAGTACTTCTTCCGATTCCACCCAAAAGTTTGACCTTCTCATTCGAGTCTGACTGATGTTTTCATTCAGGAAAAGAAATCGTAAAATCATTATTGATGATGAGGACTCTCTCTCTCCTCCTGCAAAAGAACCGAAGCAAGAGCCTGAAACAACTCCCAAGAAAGAAGAGAAACCGATAGTTCGAAGCGAGAAAAAAGAGTCTAAGAATCTCTGTACGTTTAGTTCTCACTTTTCCCCTTAGTTCGTAGTTTAGTGAAAGAAGATATTTTCGATGCAAATGCTTCTTCTCCAGAAAAAGAAGCTGAACCCGAACAAATGGAAGTTGATTCTCCTGTTAAGAAATCTAAAAAAAAGTCAAATTCTGAGAACAAAAAGCCAAAAAAATCATCGCAGATTATTAACGAAGATAACGACGAGAAGCCAGAAGAGCCAGTAGTTCGAAGATCCCGTCAGTAAATTCGGTTTTTTTTAAAACAATGCATGGAATTTCAGCTCGTAAGCATTTCCAAGGAGGGGCTGTTGAAAAAAAGAAAAAAATGATCAAATCGTACGAGACTTTCATGGATGATGAAGGCTTTTTAGGTGATTTTTAAAGTTTCAAATTTGTTCTAATCGTCTGTTTAAGTAACAAAAGAAGTTGTCAGAGAGCAGTCTGTTGAACCCGAGGAAGCAGCCGTTGCTAAGCCACTGTCGCCTAAGAAAATCAATCAGGTACTCTAGCATACTCTTCCATATTCTGAATTTTTCTTTTAGACTACATTAACTAAGCCCAAAACTACTAAAACAGCAAATCAGCAATCCAAAATAAGCTCATTTTTCACGAAGAAAGCTTGAAATGCTGCTGCGCTGGGAACCCTGAGCGGATATTCAAGATCTCAGTTTTATTCTAACCAACTTAAGTTCCCTTTATGACATATCATGTTCATCCCTATATTTGTCTTTTCCGGTGTTTCACATTTCATTCGCCAACTTTTAGTTTGCCTTTCACAGCATTAATTATCAATTGACGGGATTTACATTGTTTTATCACGAGTAAACCTCAGGAAAATATTTTTTTGGTAATGACACATTGACATCAGCTATGAAAACATTGGGGTTCCTGAGCCACGAGTAACAAGGCATAAAAAAGCATTTTGATTTGATGGCACAGCTGCTCAACTCCATACATTCCAGGATTGCAACCGGAAGCTATTTTCTGTATGCTCGAACTCTATGAGTCTTCGTATTTGCTTAAGCGACATTTGGAACTCTGTGCTGCACTGCTGACGTTCAATACTTTTGAGAAAAATAGATTTGATCCAAAAGTTTCTCTCTCCCTCATTTCTCACGAAGCTTCATCAAAGGACATTATGTTTCTTTTTTGAATTCTTTTCTTATCTCCCTTAAGGATTAGAAGGTGTCAATTTCTAATAAATTGCTGTTCCATCACTCTCCATCAGATCCTGGTTGTCAGCACTACGCCATATTTCAGAGAGGAGTAGGCAGAACCACTCCGAGAGATCTATGTCTCGCCATATTTGATAAGAGAACAATTCTAAACCACAAAAAAAACAAATATCGCACGTATTTTTGCAATTGTAAAATGTCATTAAATGTGACATTTTGGAGCAAATTACAGAGCATCCTCCCAAATACTCTCATCTCCTGTTCTCAGCAGTGAGAGCTCTGTCGATTATGTGTATTATTCTCATATTTGGAAGTTTATTGGATGTTGCTTTTCTTTCAACCAACTACGAGCTGCAGAAATCCTAAAACAGTGTCTTGGTCTCGAGAGATTGAGCAAGTGAGCTGAGAGCAGTTTCTTCTCTTAATTTTTCGAAGAATCCACTCTAGGAATTCGAAAAGAAAATCTGAACTAATTGGTCTCACAACCCTTTTTCCTATTTCGCCTCAAGCTATAAACTGCTTGCACTTAAGCTATTCATTTCGGTTGTCTCGAGTATTCCTGGAAGAGGACTCTTACTATAACCAACACAAAGACAAGCTGCATACTTACATTCCCACGTGTTTTCATATTGTTTGATCGAACATGTGTTAGAACTCTGTTCCGACTTCCAATCTGGCACCAACCTCTGCTTACGGTTGACCATGTCTCGCGGTCTGCAAGAGGGATCTATTTCTCATCTCATCTCCACTGCAGCACAAGATTCAGAGAAGGAGAGTCTTCCCTCTGTCTTCTAATCTTTACTTCTCATTCTCGTTCACTCTCCGTCAGCACCTCCTCTTACAAACCGGTTCTTCCTTTTCTTTTTTCTATGCACAAGGGGAACTGCGACCGTCGGCGTGCCGATTAACGTACTCATTTTTTCAAAATCTTCATTTCGTCTTCAATTTTGAAAAATCCTTTTGATGAATTTGAAATGTTATTCTTCTACATGTAGTAAGTTTTGTCAAATTCATATTTATCAGCTACAACTGAATACTTAATGGAGAAGATGAAATAGATCAATGACCAATAGTGACAGCCAAAATGTTTTCATTCCTCTACTTGCCATGAGAGGCATTTTTGAAATAAAATCTGCCTACGACACATTGCGTATTATTTTTTCTTTTTTCGGCAGTTCTCGTCATTCTCTCATTTCCATCCATGTCATTTTTGAAATATTGACTGTATTGTTGAAAAAAATTTCATTTTAGATAGAAGAAGCATATATATCTGTGCTTCTCTCGTTTTTATGCACAAAAAATCTTTTTTTTTTCAGATCTTTGAAACTGCCTTTCGGCTCTTGTTTGGTCTTTTAATTTATATTAACTTGATTAGGCCATATTCTTTCAATGAAGTGTTATTGAATAAAATTTGAAATATCAACCATTTTTCGCTTTGCTCAGTTGTCCTTTCCTACTAATCTTCTGAAAAAAAACTCGAAACTTTGTATTCTTACGCTAATTTTCACGTGTTCACGTTTTGGCGCTCAATGTTCGACTGCGCTTTCGATTATTTTGCATTATGAACGCGCGTGAACCGGTCGTATTCTCAATCATTAAGGTTTTTTTCACTTTTTTTTTATTATTTTTTCTCTCGTTCATCCAATTTGTTTCTTTATGTTTTTATTTGAATTGTTCTTTTTTATGGAACAGATCTGTATGTTTTATCACTTCTCATTTGCGAAATTCAAACAAGAGCCATGAGAAATTTGTTTCTCGTAGACCAAATCTGAGTCTCCATTTTCAATTATCCTTGAATTATTCAGTATTATCTGCAGTATAGATATTGGTGTTTTTCAAGATAATTTTATAATTTTTCAAAAGAATTTGTCTGAACTATTCCATTTCTATCTGCGCTCTTCATTATGTTCCATCGCATTCATGCCCCCTCGTTTTTTTCATTTGGTGTAGATTATCCGGGCGTTGGGGGTGGTTGAGTTGAATATTGTAACATTCTGTTAATAGACCTTGTTTAGCATTGATTGAGACATAATCTGCTGATGCTTATTCACTTAACTCTCAGAATCATTTTTTTAATAGTAAACAATCACTTAATCCTTGTTTGCTAAAAAAATTAGAAAGAAGTTGTTCCTGAATTCTTATTTTTGTTCATTTCTTGGAAATAATTGTTGAAGTTGATGGAGACATTTCGTGCTGACTAGTTGTCCGACCTCATTTTGCTCACCTCACGATGTAGTCAATCTTCTTGTTATAGTAAGAATCAATTAATGAACTATCAATTCATACTCAAGAAATATAATTGTGAAATTATGGCTCTGAGGGTAGCGTTGATGATATTTTTACGCTCTTGTTTATTTCCGGAAGCCCAATTTCAACTCTTAATAAAAGGCACATATGAGCTGGATTCACTATTCAATGTATTTGCTATGAAATCTTCCCCCTCTCTGCTTCGCATTATTTACTATTACTAACTTTTATTAGAAAATATGTTGTGAGATAAATGAAACTCTGTATTATTCTTTTTGTCCAAAATATATAATTCTCTGTAAATAATCTACAACTGCATACTTTTTCTGTAACTATTTGTTCCTCACTATCACTCACTCTGCTCTCTCTCTCTCTCTCTCTCTCTCTCTCTCTTTAATTCATTCCAGTACCTTCTCTCTGAGAAAAACTTTTTTGGCGCTCATTTGAATAATAGCATGAAAATGTATTTCTCTAAAAGCTTCATCTTCACTAGTTAATGTCCTTGTTTGATCGAAAATGTCGAAGCACACACACGTACACATCCCAAGCTCTTCTTTTTTCCTAGCATTAAATTAGCCAGCGTATAAAACTCTGCTTCGCTCTGTTGCATCCTGGTCAAACTAGTATTGTTAAGCGTTTTCTTGGACAGCCTTCATGTCTAATTTTTTTATGAATTTGCAGTCTTACTGCATATGCTATTGTGAATTTCGCTAGATTATATACTTCGTTTGCTCTTTTCTTTTCTTCTCCCATTCATTTTTTACTATTGCCTGTTTTACTAACAGGAGGTAGCCAGCGACTATCCTTCTGTTTATTTGTATGCCTCCTTATGACGTGCATGTTTTTTCATTTTTTTGTCGAATTTAACGGCTTTTTCATGAAGTTTCTATCTCTCAGCCTTTCAGTCTTCCGGCTAGGTCTGTTTTTCTTGTGAGCATTTTCGATTCAATTCTCAAATGCTTCATAGTCAACACTTCCAAATGTCTGGTAGACGGCTGACACAGCTGTTGAAGCTTCACATATCATGTTTTTTTCGTTTGGTATGTTAATTACTGTGTACATGTCCGTAAATGGCGAAAAAAAATTTATTTTTCTGCCAATACCTACATCTGCCACCGTTTCTTATCGTTTATTATGCTGGTTTTGCACTTTCTGCTGTGAACATATTATCTGTATTAATATTTCATTACATGTTCTAGAACGTTTAATTTTTATTCTCAAAGACTACTTAAGTTGTCTTTCACTCTCTTTCCATTTATACGTTAAGCCTCATGTATAGTGCATAGCAGTGTTTGATCGGCTTCTTAACTTGTGAAAGTTCTCTCTTCTTGCTTCACCATCGATTGTCAGCGTATTTTTTTCTCCTTTTTCTCTTTTTTTTGTGTTTGTATGTGTGTGGATCCAATTAGTTCAATTTGTTGAAAATTGAAGCAAAGAATGTCTGAGCCTATAATTTGTACAAAAACTTCATTCACTTGAGAGTTCTTGCTTTGTAAGCTCAACCTTCAAGCTAACTAATGATGAACGACATAAAAGAGAAATGTTCTTTAAACTTTTCGAAATGTCTCAAGCTTATGTTATGAAAAAGGAAAACATCGCAATGTTCTTCTTTCTCTTCCCTTTGTTTATTCAATGTTGCTTTTAATTTGCTCGTTTTTTTCCTTTCATATTGATTTGTTTTATGGGGCCATTGCTGATTCGGAAGATGCCATTCGAATAAGTAAAACTGGTCACTCAATCGCATGCTTTTCTGAAAAAGAGTATGTTATCTTGTACATCTGTCAACTGATAACATTCTATCGAAAGTATTTTTCTTCTCGGCTTTTAGTTTGTTGTTCCTCTTTCTTTTTCTTCGTCTTCATCTACTTCTGCCTATACGTCAATAAGCTGATTCAATTATATATTTTTTTGATTTCAGAAGTGAGGAGGAAAACTCAAAACTGGATTAACTTATACTAACCGTTTTCCTCTTCTTCTCTTTTCTAACTTTTCTTTCAAATATCTATATTGTTGGTTTGTGTGGAAGGAAGTTAGAGTTACAAGAACATTCCCATGGTCTCTGAAATGGATTGTCTCAGCCATCCAATGATGGATTCACCTCTAACTACCAAGTTCCCGTTATCAGTTGAAAACTTTGTTCAATTACAATCACGTAAGTTTACCTTTTCATTATCTTTTTTTTTGGAAATTGGTTATTTATCTATGATTCCATACTATAACTCATCGTTCCCACGCTATTTTCATGTCTTTCCCATCATTTATTTCTCGTTTTGTTTTCTAATTATTGATCTTACGTTCAGTATAAGGTTATGACTCAAATGCTTGAAGATAAAGCCCTGTTTTTTGTGCGCGGGTTCGCCTTCTCATTTGCCCTTTTATGTTCTCATCTCATCTGCCACAACCACAGTTGGTCAATTCTCTTCTCTTCTTCAGCATTATTCATTCAATAACATTCCGTTTTGAGTTGCGGATGACGATTGTCACCAAAGTTCAAGAGAGAGAAAAAAAGTTTTATTTTATCTGTTGTTGTCATCTGCTTGTGAATGCAAACATCTCCTACTGCAGTCCAAATGGCTTAGAAGTGGTTCTTTGGCTGCTTGCTTAATCTGGGTTGGAGAGGTATTGATCCAGCATGGACATTGACGCTTTGCTTATAAGATGCGAATGTGTTTTGATGTCGAATAGCCTTTACCTTGTGTTGTCCCATTATATTGCCTCTTAAAAACACTTTTCTTTGCTCATACACATTCACAAGGTTTTCCATTTCTTCTTCTACTCTTTCTTCCGTTTACAAGAAAACTCAATAACTTCATTTTCTAGTTCTTAATACAAATTCTATGAAATGCGCTTATTTAGCTGAGATTCTGACAAAGAGGGGAACGGCGAGAGAAAGAGAGAAATGTGGAGAGAGTGAAAAGCTGATGAGAGATCAACAAAGAAGAGAATCCAAAAGGGCAGTAACTTTCCTCAATGGACTTCTCTTGCTTAATTCGGCCACCATGCTAGAAAGATCATGAAATTTGTGATTTGTGTCTTATTTTCGCCTCATTGACCGCTTTCTCTGATATCTTTACGATTTTCTCACGACTTTTGACTTGAAAATCAAAAATGTTGAAATATTGTTTTGCAATTATGTTTTATTCCTTTTTCTGTTTTTCTTCGACCAAAAGTCAAGAATGAAATATCTTTTTTTTGTGTTTGTTGTCATCCTAACTTCTCCTCTCCTGCCTACTCTCTGACTATATTTTGAAAATGCATTTGAATTTTGACATCATGTGAACGTACTTTTCCTTATCAGGAAGTTTGAGAGTTATGTGCTTTCTTGTTACAAGTGTTCCACATAATATGAAATTCTATGCAGGTGTTGATTAAGTTAATTTGGCATTCGGAGAATTTAATTTAATCGAAAACCTTGAAGAAATTCTATGACAACTATCATGTTTCTTGGCCATATTTCACACATCCCTCGATTTCTTCTTCTCTCTCTTTCTCTATATGTGTGTTTCTTATTGATTTTATTACTTTCAACCCGAGGTTTAAGTAGTAAATTGTGAGTTTATTAATAATCGTTTTGTCCCTCTTAGTCTTTCGTGTCAGAATACACTTCCTATGCCTAAAATTGAGTTTCAAATTGATTTTCTAGTTAAAAACACCATCAACTATACTCATCAGATGACTATTGATTGCTAATACATTCTTTAACTTTTTCAGACTTCATGTCAGAGGAGAAGGATTCTGATATGAGCAGGGACTCTAAACCATATGGTGCCAAGCACCACAGTGCTTCTGAAGCTGGTAATTCATTTATTCCAATTTCATACTTTTCTAATTTTCCATTTTTGACAGAAAGCCCTTCTAGTGTGGACAGCAATCAAAGCGTAGAATCTCAGAAAGATAAACGAGAAACTCGTAATTGTACAGTTTTTGAGAATGTAAGTTGTCTGTTCTTTAACGTCATGACATGTTTGTTAAGATTCAATATTTGGGATGTTCAAAGATTGATAATCCATCAGATGAAAAAGATATGTTACGGCTTATGACATTCCTGGACACTGAGAGGGTTTCGGACCCAGTTACGGTATCATTAGCTGTTCCTCATAGCTTCCAGGGAACAGTCACGTAAGAAATCTGTTTTTCTATGAAGCATAAGTTTATCTTCAGATTATGTGATTCAGCCAAAGCTGAAGTAGCATCTTTCCCTGTTAGTCAAATTCGTTACTGTGTCAGAGGGCCATTCGGCTCTGCTCAAACCCATTGCTTCGCCATATCATTCACTCATTACTTATCAGCTGGTGAGCCGGCTCATCAATGTCATGTTTTTCGCAGTGCTCAACCTGACACTGTTAGTTGCAAATAATGAAACTCTTATTTATTTTAAAATTGAAGGCGGGAAGAGCACTGTATTGCTTCGAACAAGCGTTCAAGAACAGTGCACCTTCAACAATAGCTGGGGATGAAAATAGGATGGATTTCCGATTTGAAGCTTATTTGGAGATTGAGGTATACCAATAACTAAGAGACAGTATGATAAAAACTATTTTAGGAAAACAGCATGGGGGAAGAGTATGCTTTGTGCCCTTTACAAAATAATACAATCAAATTACGGAGAGATCGTAAGAAGCGGGTGATTGTTCAGTTAAAACAAGTAACTTTTCTTGGAGCTTCCATTTCTAACAAACCAATTAAGGTTTCTGGTCCTATCCTTACAATTTCGAAATGCTTTGGCATGTTGTTGGCTGCTGGAAGGAACTTGAAGCATGGTGACATGCAGCTACTAGAAATGGAGAAAATGGGTGCAGGTTCGTCATTACTCTAGAGGATATGAAGAGAGTTTGTCTTTGAAGGGTCAGATCCTTCCGTTTATGTGGTCAGTGCCATTTGGAATCCAACACTTCATAATATTGACGTACTAAACACGGAAACTCCTCGTGGTTAGTGTGAACAAATGTAGGCGAAAAGAGGATTTATTTCTTGTGCAGAAACGAGAGTATTTATGACGGTAGCGGTTGATGTGATATTGGCAGAAGTTGGAGAGCCAATTCGTTTCTGCTTAGAAACCAGAGCTAGAGTATATCACATCCATGAACGGTTTTATAAACATCCGCGAGTAGCTGTTAAAGAAGGATACAAACTTATACTGGAGGTTGGTTATTTGCATTTTAATTTTGTTTCTGTTTTTTCGTTGTTTTGCTAATATATCTTTTTTTTAACAATGACCCACATAATGTTCCGGGTGTGTTTTCATTTTTGTATTGTCCTCTTCCTTTCTCTCTCGCTATATATCGTTTTCCCTCCTCTTCATGTTTCGGTCTTTCCCCATTATCATTCTGATAACATTCTCATGTATCGAAGTATATTTTCCTTTTTTCTGACTTTTGACTAGTACATTACATTTCATCTGAAAGAATATCTTCTCCTTTGGGAATTACTTTTCATGATTTCCTCGTTGCTTTGGATAAGTTGTCGAATTTCCTTCATTGGCTATCATATAATATCTCTTTGTAGCTCGTTAGTTATATCTCTAACTCCTCCTCTTGAAGTATCAAATAGTTGTTGAACAAATGCTTCGACAATCTCCTTGTTAGTCAATCAATCTCACATTTGCTTTTTATCGTTCGCTCGCATATGCTTCTCCATCGCAAAATATTTGATTCATTTCTCGACTTGCCTTGATCATCTCTTCCATACATCCCGTCTTCCTCTTTGTCTCTCTTTTTTCAGCATTTGTTCTTTCTCTTCATCATCAGCCACCACGAACCCAGTCCTTTCCATAGATTTTGCGTCGTCTGTTGTCCATTTTTCTCTCTTTCTGCTCATTCCGCTGTCCGTCTTCCACCTCGTTCTCTTCTCTCCCGAGTTTATCCACTCTTTCTCTCTTACACTCTCTACTCTCCTCTTTTCCATCGTCTGCTTTCCTACCGCGTGGCTTTTCTACAAATTTTGTGTGGCTATTCGTGTGTATTTTCTTCAAACTGTGCACGTTTCTTTACGTTCCCCTTTCCGGGTTGTTTATCAACTTCTACTGGTTTTCATTGATTTTTATAATCATCGTTTTCCAATTTTATCGAAAATATCTGCTATCCTTCGATGTTTATGTTCGTTTCACCCACCCCCCCCCCTCTCTTTATTTTTTCTATAACATATGACTGGATCGCTCCGTCATCGTTCCTCATTAGAATTTCCTTTATTCTTTCCATATTTGATCAATTCATATTTATACTTCATCGATAAAAAGCTTTTATCAGCTTTTCTCATTTACTCTGCTTATTTCATATGTCATAACTTTACGAACATAATTCACGTTTCTCTCAACAAAAGATTATCCAATATACTATTAACAACTCTCTTCCCTCCACAAATTGCCATTTTTATTAGCAACCTTCCTCTTTTTCTGTAGTTTGGGATTTTTTCAGCGCTCTGTGGGATCCGAGGAACCCCAAAGTTCTAATTGTGGACTGATCTTTGTGTCCATTGAGTCTGAAGCTGAACGAGCTCGAGCGAAACAACGAATTGGACGGTTCGTGCACTTTTGGTATTCCTTATTGAAAATATAAATTTCAGGAGTCCTAGTAGAATGCCGACTCAGTTGTTACAACCTGCAGGAGACGATGAATCTGGTATTTTACAAAACTCGCCATGTTATTTAAGATCTTTTTAAGACTCAGACGAGCCATTGCTTTCTGGCTCCGGAACCGTATGTAGAGATTGCCCAGAAGAGCTGATGCAAAAATGGAAAGAATGCTTGGAAGATTGGAAAAAAAGAGAGGATGGGTAATATTTCTTCAGTTTGAGCCAATTGAACAAAATTTTTTTTTGCAGCAGTCGTCCCGATGGAGTTTCAGCACTTATCCTTAACGGCGTTCCTGATGTGATCCGTGGTGAAGTTTGGCAACTCTTGGCAAAAGTCAATTTGGATTCAGATTTAGCTAATACATATCATTTTCTTTTGGGAAAGGTATGAACTGTTGTCATTCATTATATTATATTGTTTTTATCTATAGGAATGTCCATCAGAGCAGGTTATCATGAGAGATATTCATAGAACCTTCCCAGCGCATGAGTATTTCAAAATTGCCGGAGGTGAAGGACAAGAATCTTTGTATAAAATCAGCAAAGTAGGTTTACTTATTTCTATCATTGCTTCATAAATGTCTTCTATCATATTTTATTCGAATTTTCCTTCAGTCTTACTCACTTTACGATGAAGAAGTTTCATATTGCCAAGGATTGTCGTTCTTGGCCGCAAGTTTATTACTTCATGTGAGTGTGTTAGTTTTATGCATAAAATTATGATCTATTTAAGATGCCTGAAGAGCAAGCTTTCTGCACTTTGATAAAGATCATGTTCGATTATCAGTTAAGGGACCTTTTCAAGTTGGGTTTTGATTCTTTACATCTCCGATTCTATCAGTTAACACGATTACTCAAGGTCAGTTTGTGATTTGTTAATTTCTAAATTTTTCTTGTGCTTCCAGGATTATGAAGCTGAACTATCATATCATTTTGATGCTATAGGAGTAGAAACTCATATGTTCGCCTCGCAGTGGTTCTTAACTTTGTTCACAGCAAAGTTCCCTCTACAAATGGTGTTTTATATTGTGGATTTGTTCCTTTGTGAGGTAGGCAGCATGAAATCTTTTGTCGTTTTACTCTTTATTGTAGGGAATGAACACGATCTTCCATATCTCTCTAGCTCTACTACGTGACTCCAGAGAAGATTTGCTGCAACTCGATTTCGAAGGAGCTCTCAAGTAATTTTCAGTTTGTTGTCTAACATGTAGTTTGAAATTTCAGATACTTCCGTGTGACTCTTCCCCGTAAGTATCGAACAGAAGCAAGTGCCAAAGCATTGATTCACAAAGCTGTCGACTTTAAGGTTGTGTCTCTTGTATCTCAAACTCATCTAATTTGCTGTTTCAGTTAAAACATAAACGTTTATTGAAATATGAGAAAGAGTATAATGAAATGAAAGAGAGAGAACGGGAGAACGAAGATCCGCTCGTTCGTTTGCAGGTTTCGTTACCTTCTTAAAAATTTATTTGCCTTTGTTTTTTTCAGAAGGAAAACACTCGACATGCTGAGACAATCCTGAGGCTTGACCGTGAAAATGACGATTTGGCTCATGAATTAGTAACAAGCAAAATAGAATTACGTCAAAAACTCGACACTGTTGAGGTTAACCGTTTTTTCTCTTTCTCCCCTAATGTAAGCATTGCAGGATGGATTAGAGACAGCGACGAATAAAATTGAGATTCTATCGCGTCAAAATCATGATCTATTAGAAGAAAATAAGCAGTTGCATGTAGAATATGATCAGGTGGGTTCCGAATGATCTCTGCGCAACTGAATTTGTTTTTTCAAGATTAAAGAGATGTATCGACGAGAAGTGGAGAAATTAGAAGAGATGAATAACAGATCGGGAAATTTGTTGAAAGAATACAAGCAGATTGTGTTCCGTCTTGAAAATGATCAGAAACAGCTTCAAACACAGAAAAAAGAGATCGTTGTGAGTTTTTTTGTAAACTTGAACGTATCCAATTTTCTAATTCAGTCTGGTGTCTCACAATGCGAAAAGTGTGGTCCTTTGGTAGAAGCTTGGAATGCCGACGGGAGCCCAATCAGGACACCAACGGAGTCCTTCCCAGATCTTCTGTCACAGCTTGAAGAGAAAGATTCGCATGTCAAGTAAGATTTATATCAGAAAGTATCTCATGCAAAAATGGGTTTAGAGCTTTGGAGATCCAGTTGGCAGAAACAAAGTTATTACTGGTGGAAGCGCAATGCAAGAACCAGGATTTAACACATAAGATGATGACAACTAGTGAAAGTGATGGACGAAGGTAGTTTGCCAACCTTTTTATCTGAATGTACATCGTTTTCAGATGGTTCAAAAAAACATTTCGAGATGGAATGACGTCCCTGCGTGAAGCAGCAGGCTCTTCAATGAAAATACACGAACGATCTCATAGTAGTGTGTCTGTTGCAGATAGAGTGCAATAGACAGCAATCAGCCAATAGATTTTTATAGAAGTTTTAAAAAGTATATGTACATGAGAGATTATTTTATATTTGAGGCTAGGCATTTTGTCTGATTTTTTAAAAGTTTGGCCAAATTTTAAGCTTTTAAACCTGTCTCACCAAATTTGGAAACAAATTAGCTTCTACGAGGTGTTTTACTTAAGTTCTCCAACGCCAATAATGGTGGATAAAAACTATTTTTCTTTCTATTTCGGTGTTATCCTTCAGTTATGTACAAAATTGTGATTTGTCTAAGCATAAGTATTGTCTACGGGTTTCTTTGAAGTTTCATATCTTTCGATCACCTTTTCTTTGTGATTTAATGTGACGTCTCCGAGTAAATATTGCTTTTATATCGTTTTTTGATGATTAAATTGAATGTGAAAGTGTCTGAGAAGCTTCGAATAGAATATCTAATTAATCGAAGATCACCCCATCGAGACGATTGGATGTCTGGGAACACCTGTTTTAGCTTATATCCCGAATCTGCCTTGAAGGGTGAGATTTACCCGAATAATATTTGGAAAAAAAACAATGTGGAGGAAAGGCCTGATTTGGACCAGTCGAGAACTGGGAAATTAAGCGAAGTTGGAAATCGCGTCATGCATCAGTTGTAAAATTCTTAATCTATGATCAACCAAGATTTATGAGGTACGAATCTTCTAAAATTCAAATATTTAGAGGTTTGTAGTTTCAACTAGTGAATACCACCTCTTAACTGACTGTCGAGTGTTTAGAAAAGAATGAAGAACGAGGGCAAAGTTCATGTTAAGCGAACGCCCAATATCGGAGATCGAAAGTACAGTCACTTTATGAATTCAAACCAAAATTACCTTTTATGGGTTGACCACCCATGCGTTCTACAAACAACTTTAGAGCGCTCGTATATCTTCTTGTAAAGAAATGAGTATGAGTTTGTTAGAAAAGACATTGAACCATCAACTTACTTTCAATTAGTTTTCGGACGAGTTTCAGTCCTTAATGGGAAAAAATTTAATTATCTTTGTTTTTTACTAATGTACTTATTCAAAATGTAATAACGCTATGAAAACATTAGATAAATAAAAGACAAAAAAACTTTCTCTCTTCTGATTCCGTTGAGAGGGAACAGACGTTCACAGAGAGAAAAGTGATGAGAGAAAGAAGGAGAAGGTGAGAGATTGAGTGGAAAGGGCATAAAGAGAGAGAATATAATTTGTGGATGGTCAAATGGTCAAACGGTCAAACTAGATGAAACATAGAAAAATTTCTCATTTTATTGTGAGAGGGAGGAGCTTCAATCTCAGTGACTCTTTGAAAATACAAATTACAGGAATAAAAAGGGGGAGATATAAAGAAGAACAAATCCTTTCCGTCCAATCAGTCTGCTTCAAATCGTCTCTAAGATCTTTCATAATTTAGCAAAGTTCATTTATTTCAGAATGATTCAGTTTCTTGTTCTCGTTGTTCTACCTTTGACCTATGCATCATTCTGTGGAGAGTCATCCATACCCTTCAGTATTGAGGTTTGTCATTTTCTTAGATTGTGCACGTATGCCTTCAACTCGTGAAGAGTACCTATCGGTAACAACCATACGTGTATGGAAGTTCGCTTTCTCCTGTTCACTTTCTCAAAACTGACATTCTCATAAAATTATTTTTTCTTTAATCATCATCATTCCACTCAATTCATTCGTTTATAAAACGATAACTTTATAATTGAACCAAATTGACTGGGAACTCGTCACTTTTCTCAGCCATCTTCCCTTGACTACTTCTGCGACATAGCATATCCGGAACGGTGATGACGTATTTGAAAAAAATTAAATTGACATGTATTTATGTTCACTTTCATCAAAGTAGCACGTTTTTTTGTACGCGAAGACACAGTTCCTTTCCATGTGTTAGAATCTTTTACTGTAAAAGCTGTTTTCGGAGAACTCATACAGTGATTGTAGATTCTACCTAACGGTCAGCCTGTCTTAGGATGTGCCAGACCAGCATGTTTCGGATGGAACGAATCAGGAAATCCCACAACTAATGACGCCAACTTTTTTAAGTTTGATCTGATGAAATAAAAAAAACTAAGCGTTTTTTGCAGGGTAGGCAACAACGATGATGGCTTCTTCAGACCGGGTTTATCATCAGTTGAACCCTATGATCCGACCGATCTGAAACATTATCGTATGAGCAAGGCTGTAAGTTCGCAAATGTTTTTTTTCTTAAAAAAAGTTTTTAAGGACTGTTCGGAACAATTCGATTCGCCCAATTGTGACTTCTCTTATCAATGGGTTTCTGGTTTGGCTCCCCAAACAAATTTGTCATTGCCGTCAGTTCTTTTTTGATTTCGATAAAAAACCAAAGGCTTTTAGCTTGAAGCTACGATGCTGTTCCATTGAACCCTTGATCCGTTCAGTTGATAGAGGAGTCGCAACTTTGAGAGCTGGACAGATTGTGATTGGAGGAGAGGTTGCAAATTTTAATTGTTTGTAAATAGCTCTTTGATTTTTGAAGGTTACAAAACAGGGAAAGCAAGTGGCTTTTGATTATATTGCTGACGTCGCGAGAGTTACGAATGAAGAGGACGGACAGACTATTTATGACGTAGCCGTCAGACGATTTGAATGTCTACCCATTTTCACAAAAGGTTCAATCATTCAATTTTCTCTGAGTATTCAAAATTTTTTAGGATACGTATCTCGGGATGTTTCTAGCAAATTTGATGGCGCAAGAAGATTAGCTTTACAAGCCCCAACGTATGAATCTCCTGACAACGCGATCAGCCTTCCAAGTGCGCAACAACAAAATCCTTCACAACCTGTAATTGAAGGACCATTTACTGAGGATGAAGTATCTTTTCCCGGTTTGGTACACGAGGTAATACAAAGTCTATGAGCATACCCTCAGTTGGGCTTTTCAGAAATCTGCTGCTACTGGTAACGAAATGTCTGCAGCAGCAACTGATTACCTTGTGAGTAATTTTATATTTTGTACAGAATATTATTCCGTTTTTTATCTTAGAATAATAACAGTGCTTATAAAGGCCAATATCAACAAGTTATTCCTCCTCCACCACCATCAGATACCTTACTTGCAAATTCGTATGCATCCAATCAGCCAGCCTATGTTGCTCCAGCACAACCTTCTTATGTCGCTCCTCCTCAGCCCGCTTATGTTCCTGCTCCTCCTCAAGCACCACCTCAACCACCAGTCCAATATTATTCTGCTCCTGCAGCTCAGCCCTACTATCCTTCGACCAGCTCTTACTATTGCTTTAGTGGAGATACTCAAGTTCTTCTACTTTCTGGAGAAACAAAGAGAATGGATGAGCTACGCGTGCACGATTGGGTTCAACAATTTGGAAAGTCATCTGTGAGTATTTAGACTATTTCGAAATTGTTCAAGCAAAACATGGCTTTCAGGTTAGTTACTCTCCTGTTACTATGTGGCTTCACCGTATGCCTGAAGAACTTGCAGAATTCATAGTGTAATTGCAATCAGTTCAACTGCTTCAAATCTCTCTTGATTTCAGTATCAGTCTCACCGACGGTACAAAACTCAAAATCACCGATAAGCATTTCATTTACAAAACAGCTTGTGACCAAAGTCGCTTGGTAAGTAATCTGCTTTTAACCTAACTATCTAAACGCATATTTCAAGGCGAATGTAACTTCTGTGCCAATGAAACCTGTATTTGCTGATGAAGTGCAAGTAGGTGACTGTTTGTACAAAGTTGTCAAGGTATTACTCTAATTGGCCATGTAGTGTGAGGGTTCTGTTTAGAATTATCCATCTTTGGTTCGCAAAGTACGAGTTGCTGCTATAGGTAAAGTATCCGAGAAAGGTATATATGCCCCCATGACGACAACATCCACTGTGAGTTTGAGTCTGAAAGTACTGTTCTCATCGATGACTCCACAAATCAGATTACCGTTAATGGAATACTAGCGTCGTGCCATTCAGTCTATAAGCCATCGAATGCTGTGACAACATCATATTTCAAAGTAAGCTTCAACAACATTACTATTGCAGAATCATGCTACTTTTTTTAGCAAATGAGTAACATTCGTGATTATTTTTTCGGCAAATCATCAGAGGACGAAATGGAGTTACCGGTCACTTTGAGCTTGGCTATTGAAATGCTTCATCTTATTTTACCAAAAAGTCTTCTTTTTGCTTTATAATCAAACAGAAGCCAATAATCAATACTATATCGGGTATTCTGAAAAGAAAAAAATCTAATTAATACTTACTTTTTACCATACAAGGTGTTTGCAATAAATTGTTTATCTAAAGTTTGGTCATAATAAACATCTATGAGTGTTATAGTCTGTAGTCTTCTCTAAACTCTCGCTCAACCGCAGTTCTTGTTCTGACTGCTCATCTTCGTTTATGGAGAGTGTTCCATGTATGATTGTAGTTTCGTCTGTTACTCTGATCAACGCAATTTTCAATCGAATAACTTCCCGAAACCTCTAGTGAACTCTAAATGACTCATTGATTCTCTGAGAATGCAGTGTTATAAGACGTTTTGAATAAATTGTGTTAATTCTAAATTATTTATCTTCATGTTCTTTTCCCTTTTTATAAAACGTATTTTTTTATCGAATAAATCAAATATGTTCACAGAGTACATTATCTGGAGATTAACATGAGCCCACGACTCATTTCTGTAAGTTACTTCTAGATTATATAATATATATTAAATGAATATTTATCTTCAGATTGAAGCTCGTAATCTTCGTGTATTGTTCCGTGATGTCCGTGGTAGAATTGAAGAAAAGTGAGGATTTTTCTTTTTTTTTTGGTTTTAATTTATATGCTCTAGAAATATCGGAATGGATACAGAGACATTGATAGTAGTAAAAGAAGCTATCTTCCATAATATTGTGAAAATTAACAACCTCCTCCGTCATCCATCAAGTATGTAAATCTTGTCCTAATATTATTAAAAATATTTTGTTTAGTCCGAGGCCATGTGGATCCTTCAATTCTTGAACCGGAGGTGCATGTAGTATGTTTCTTTCTTTTTTTAATTACTTTTTCAATAATAATAAACTATAATATTAGAACAATAAATTGAAAGAGTAGACTTAATCATCCAATGATTGAATTTTAATTAGGGTTCCTCATTTAAACATCTTTTACGAAGATTGGAGCGACAAGTGAAAGCAGCTTGTATATTAGCCGATGTTGCACACTTAGGTATTTTTTTTATATATTTTTAGAATGTTCTTATATTTTCTATAATGATTGAAGATTGTTATTAATTTTGTTTTATAGGCCCAGCGGCAAATCCTACAGAAGCAGAAGCGTTAAGTAGAATTAGCGAAATACTGGAACAACTGTACGATACAATATCACCAGCATCATCTCGTTCAGGTTCAGATACTGCAACTGAATCTGACTGAATTCTCAGCTCTCAGCTTGCCTTATTTTTATGAAATCTTGTCTTTCCTTCTCCAGCGCAGCTTGATGTTTTTGTAATAAACCTTTTTGTTTCTCTTGTAGAAGTTTTTGATTTTCTAAAATCCTTTGGTGATTTTGCTCTGTCTTTCTTCTAACAACTTCTTTCGATTTTAATCTCGGAGTATTTCCTTAATTTGACTTATTTTTGGCTTTGGAGGAATCGTAGTCATTCGAGTCGTAGTTATTGTATTTTGATTCGTAGGCTTTGATTCTATTTCCTTTGAAATACTTCTTTTGATAGCTATTTCTTTAACTGCAAAACCTTCGTCACTCAAAATAAGTGAATGTCCACAATCATTATAAAAACTATTCAATTTACCAATAGAGATGTATCTACATTTCTGATCTCTATGATAATCCCAAATCGTACCTTCATTGCTTTTTTTCGTTTTATATCCATTTAGATAATCACATTTACTCTAATCACTTAAAATGATTGTTGGTTTTGATTGATTGGAATGAGAATACACCTTTGTTTCTATAATTATACATTTCTTTTTTGAATATATTTTAAGATAGAAAAAAGTAGTCCTCAGATATTTTGTTAGTAAACCATTGAGATTCACTATGTTTTACAAGTGTTCCATACTTACATTTCTTAGTAATTATTATTTCTCTACATTTTTAGTTTTGCAGGAAGCGGGAAGGCTAAATGAATCTTAATGCTTCTGATTTTTCTTTGTTTCTCTTTTTTTTCAGGAACGAATTTTCGACTTGCATTGTGAGCATTCATGATTCTGCATATGCTTATCAGAAAGCAGTGGGGCTAAAAAATATGAGAAGTGTATTGCATCATTATCACTTAATTCTGATTTCATAGGGTACTCCCCAACTTTCTTAACAATGTTCTTATGAGCATCTCTTATGATGAATAGAAACGATTGGTAAAGACATAGTTGGTATGCAGAAGACGCACGCGACAATATCTCAACATGTTAATGAAAAGAGCTGACATCACATGAAATAGAGCTTTCTAATCATCTCCTATTTCTGTAGACAGTTGACAGTTTATTGAGTCCGAACGAGGGTATCCCCTGCATCATGTAGTCAAAGCATTCACAGTGGAGGAAGATGGAGGATGGTTGAACGATAATATGTTCCTTCAGTAGCATATTGAGGAAGAGGAAACAAAACTCTAATTAATACTTATTTATTACCATACAAAGAAATTGCGATAGACTGCCTTCTAGGGCTTAGTTATAACAAGAAAAATCTCCTCAAACAGATTTCTATGCAAAAGAAACTCAGGTTGTGAGCTTCTCGCGACCAAGTTGGATGAAATGAGGAGGCTATTGGAGTCATAGAGAAGAAGGACGGAATACTCGTCATGTTTTTTTCATACATTTGAGAATCAGTGTTAATGGCTTCATCCACAATATCATTGTCGTTGTCATCACCGTCGTCAGTACCGTCATTGATCATGCTGTCGTTAAAGTTCTCAAATAGAAAAAAAAAGTTTTAGGAAATATTTGCAAGGTTAAGGTGAATGAAAAAAAGGTTAGAAGCACACACACACACATAAACACATGGCTATTTAATTAATTGTAGCCTTCACTACTCACTTCCAAATGGGATTCATCACTCATCTGAAATTTCATTTATAACATTTTTGTTATTAATATTGTCACCTCGCTGTTGTACCCGGAGCGTGATTTTATCAATTCACGCAATGAGAGTAGTCTTGGAATACGAGACCTGAAGAGAAAGTTCAAAACAAGAAAAGGTAAGTAACAACTTTTTCTCCCCAGGTATTAAGCGAGGAGAGGAGGAGGGTGAAGAAGCTAAAAGAGTTTTGTTAAAGTCTATGAAATTTTCATATCAAACTCACAGCAGCTTAAGGGTAAACTTGAAATCCGAATCGGCAACCTGGAAGATCGAATACTGCTACCCTCGGGCTGAAAATGACTATGAAAAAGAACTTGAATAGAATCTTTACCGGCGTCATTGTAACTTCAGCAATATTAAGGCCAGAACTCATAAGCTCAGCTTGTTCGTCAGAAGAAGCCAGATCAGAGTTTTGCACGCTGATGCTGTCAACCGAGTCGTTGATATTGGAATCAGAATCTCGTGGAAGAGATTCGCTTTCACGAGCAGCACGACGTGATTCTGTTGATATGAACAGATGTGAAAAACGGTTATAGAGAAAAGAAAATTATATAAAAATTTATAGCGGCAAAACTTGTTTTGGCATAAACTAACCAGCTCGTTTCCTAGCTCGACTCTTCTTCCCCATTCTGTAGGAATATTCTGAATGCTATAGTGGAGATGAGAAAAAAATATGTAAGAAAGCACACCTGCTTAACAGATAGAGAGAAGAGAATGAGAGAAGATGACTAGGGAGAGAGAAAGTATTACTAGATCAAAGAAAAGCTGAGAGAATATACAATAAGAATAACAAAGCATGAGGAAAACAATAACGAAAAAATAAGAAAAAGCTTGAAATTCGAAAGAAGTGAAGTTGTAGATGATCACGTGGCTTTACTAATTTCCTTCAATCTCGTGTTATTCATTTCAACACTGATCCAAAGACTAAAATAACCTCAAAAAGGCAAAACTGAGATGAAACGGATTAGAAACAGTGGAATGAGGGCTGTGTTGAAAATGTTTCCGCCATCGAAGTGTTAGATCGCCGAGACAGAAAAGAGAGGATGTTCGATAAAAATCTTCTGATTGACCCAAAAAGGAATATTTCATATGGCTCAGAGCTAAGAAATAAGAGGAGACAGACAAACTAACACACATAACGTATAGTTTGATTGATCACAACTCCATAATGGGGATGAAAGCTACCGCTGATCGCACTGTCTGTAATGATCATTCGATTAAAGCGTAAACTTTTGTTTTTTTGTCCCGCATTGTCGATTAAAAAAGAAAATCGATCATCTTTCCGGAGAATGAAACTTCTGTGGCTTCCATTACGAAATGGAAACAATTCACTTTTCTTTTTTTTTTTTTCATCTCACAACACCACCAGCACCATTCATCCGCCACCAGCCGTTCCGATGCACTCCTACAGACTCTAGATGTCAATGGCTTACACATGGCCCGCCAATGTTTTTTTTTTGTCTTCCGATTTTCACATATATAATTCTTGATCCGTTTAACTACAACGAAAGTCAAGGTTATGCTTTTCGCTTTTTAACCGGTTCTTCATTGAATTTGCTATCTGGGAATATCTGCAATCGATCTATGATATCATCTCCTTATTAGGTTTTAGTCTGATAATCTTTCATTTCAAACACATACATTTAAAATAAAACTTTTATTTCGGCTTTTTTCTTCAAATTTGTGTACAATTTATTACATGAAGATAGTTATTAAATATTATTATTCATATCAATAGAAACAGTAACCGTTTCTATTTATATGACTCTTCAACCGGGATTCTTTATTATAAAGAGTAGGTGGAAGTAGATATTTGGTAGCCAACGAGAAGAGAAGGCAAGATGGATAAAGGTAAGGGGGCAAGGCAATACTTTTTTTCTATATTCTCTCATTTCTATGAGTGATCAGAATATGTTTCCGTAAAAACGTTAAAGACATTCAGGTAGTAATGGACTCGTTGTGACTGTTGAGCATAAGAAAAAATTTTCTCGCAAGAAAATGGAATCAAGTCAAACTAGAAAGGAGAGAATTGTAAAAAAAAAATAAGGGGAGAGAGAGAAAGAGATAGATGAACTAGAGGGGGAAGGGTATGAAGAGATGAGCACAGATAAAATGCTTTTGTAAGGGATAAAAGATTAAGAACATGCATCGTTTACTCGTAGAAATTGAAGAGCCCATGGGAGCGGGATCAAACACCGGAAAGATTAATAACAGCCTGATTTCAACAGAAACTCAAACCCTATTAGAGAAGATGAACGAATAATGATACTTATCAAATATAGTGATATTTAATTTGATAATGAAAAAGGAGAATGATTGAGAGATTTTCAAGACAACTCATGTACAAGTTCAAGCACAAACCCGAAAGACAGACAATTGCCTCTGATCGTTAAATTTAAACCGTAAAAAAAGCTGATTATCTCCGAATATGGAGAACTGTTCTCATTCCATATTAAAAATGAAAATAGATGTGAGCACGAAAATTAGATTTGGCAACACCGGTCAGCCAAAACCAGTAGGGCTATGAAAACAAAACTACAAGGCTTAGAAAAGATATGTTTAAGCGAGCACTGTTGTCAAGATAAAATTTTGAGAGGAGCCTAAAGATAAGTGTCTTCTCTCAATCGAACCGGGGATTTTAAAAGGAATTATTAAGAAGTTAAAGAAATGCCCATGATGGAAAAAAAACTGTGAACGAGGAAACGAACTAGTGTATCAGCCAATTGAGATCACTTATTATACATATAAATATATAATTGAAAACACCGCTAGGAGAAGAAAGGCAAGAAATAGAAGTCTGATCACAGTCTCGAAAGCTGGTCATCTACTACTATGGAGCAGTAGATATAGAGTAATATTTGTGAGCTTATCACAGAATCCTAATCCCGAAAGGAACTATTATCCAGAAATAAAAACAAAGCCGAGGCTACCAGAATTGCGCATGTTCCAAGAAAAAACGTTGGCTTACGCGATTGGAAGATCGTCTTTCATTTTTCTCCGTTCAGCTTCTGCTTCCTCTGCTGTCATTTGAATGCCTTCAGGTGTTTCTATTGGTCCTGGCGAAACGCTCTTTTTAGCATCTTTAATGGGTCCAGCCGGCAGTGGATCATCTTGTAAAGAGCCGCCATAAAGCATTAAAGCAGATATGAGAATCACCATTGCGAGAGCCTATAAGATTCCAGTTATAATTGATGATAATGATACTTTTTTATTACCTGGCCAACTATAGAAAACGTGAGGAAGAGATCAGCTAGGAGTTTATTCGAATAAAGCAGGCAGCTACCAGTTTGTGATTCACAAGGCTCAGACTGGTATCGAATACAACTAACATCGAACATCCAGCCGAACAAGACAGGAGCAGGAATAGTTCCAATGACGCGAACAAGGATCCACTGAATTCCTAGAGCGAAACTTCGCTCACCGTAATCAACAGTTCTGAAAAAAAATGAAACCTTCCTTCTATATAAGAATGTCAAACCTAAGAATGACCGAAATAATCGGGACACCAACAGCGAATGTACAGAAACTCAGTGGAGCAAAAAGAACAAGGAATCCCAGTAATCCACTACATTTGCTCTCACATAAACCTTTTTTCACCCGATGAGGAGCTGTTCGTGTATTGGATGCCACACAGCGGCAATCATCGTAGATCTGTAACAAATTAATTCTATGAAACAAAACTAAAACGAAACAAGAAACCTTGATAGTCGGAGAATATGATTCAGAACAACCCGCATAACAGGGAGAATAATAACTTATTTGTGAGCCATCCAAAAATTCTGCACATACAGGTTGATACTCTGATTCACTGCACGAACAATGAGCATTGCACGACGCTGTTAGAGAGACGGTATCAAACGATGTTATATATGTGAAATTGGCCGTTGGATCATATGGACTATAAATATTAATTAGAATTTGGAACTAGTCTTATTTTCTTACTTTTCTGGGTAGTCTGTTTGAACTCCAACCAAAGAGTCGTGGGGACAATAGATTAGATACATTGGAGTTAGCATAAGCGATATGAACAGTAGTCCAATTGCCAACTTGAGCGTTTTCACGCAATTCAGTCGGAAGTATTGAACAATGTAACCCGAAAGCATACATCCCACACCAGCCATTGGTACCATAATGCAACCGATCAGTACGTTCGCCTTACTGGGAGCCACACTAAATTGGCGTTCCAAGTATTTGGACATAAAAGAAGAAGCTCCGGTGACCACAAGACCTTGAAGAAAATGCGTAAGATATGACCAATACAATCAACATACTGTCTACAGCCATAGCGATTGTAATGATCATGAACGGTCCATTTGTTAAAATCCGATAGATCGAAACAGGAATGTGACGAACATCTAGCCAAAGCTTATACCACAACGGTCCTCTTGCTCGATTTGTTATATTTGAATACAGAAGAGTTGTTTGCTCTATAATAAATGGAATACAACAGTTAAACTCAAATGCAAACCAGGAGTATCACTATATAAGGCAGCTGTCTTGTTAGTTCCGGCGATTCCGCAACACTCTGGAGTTCGACGTCTACCTGACTGCGATGCTTCGTGAAGACGGGTACGATGCCAAGAAAGAGATGCAGGAAGGACTTTTGGTAAGCAGCTAATCAGAGGAACAGCCACAAAACCCAGCACACAGGCAATTATGAAGCCTAACCACCAGGCTCCAACCCATGAAGGATCACTTTCATCTCCACTAACGCGTAGGATTTGCTCGGCAGGTAGATGCCAAAAATCGGTATGATATCGCAGAAGAGTCCCGGCTGTTAGAAAACCTGCTGCTGGTCCAAAGATTGCGAATGCATAAAAAATACCTGAAAGTTTATGTTGATATAATTATTTTTGAAAAATAGACTGACCAACGAAAAGAGAAGAAAGTGCTGGCCCAACGTTTTCATCTATATAACTGACGCCAATAGTAAACAAAGGAGTTGCTCCTATTCCATGTAAAAAGTGAGCAAGGCAGAACAGGAAAACATAACGAAAACTGCCAGGCTGGAAACAATGAAAAATTATATATTTCAGTATGAAGAACAAATTACATGAGTATTGTGGTTGATTGGACAAGGAGCGGTTAATGACTCGGCTACAGGATTACTCTCATTATAAAAATCTTAAGTAGAAAACATTCATTCTCTATACTTTCGACTTCAGATTCCTACCTGATTTAACACTACATGACCCGAGAGATGTATTACCGATATTGGCTGAATAACTATCAGCTAACAAATGAGGTGTTGAGAACAGAAAACTTCCAGTTGCCATAAGAGCAAGACCTTCAAAGTGGCATTTCAAGAATTGAGCTAAAAATAACGATTTACCTGCAGCCAGAACAGCTGGCTTGCTATGACGACCTCCGAAGTATGAAACAGGAATACAAAACAGAACATAGCCAAAATCATAGAACTGAAAAGCATTATGATGACGAACTCGAAAAATGAGAAGGCTTCGAATATACCTGAACTATTCTACCCATAGTACTAGTACTAAGCTTGTATCTTCGCTCAATCGATGATATAGCGGACGGCACAAGACCGTTATTAACCATTCCCTATAAACAATGATCATAATAATATATTGATTTTAAACAAATCATACTTGAACCATACAGTACCAACAAAGAAGAAGCATCATCCAATTCCTTGTGCCAATGAATTGAAGCCATCTAGGTCGCCATTTGCCTACTCCACACTGTGATTCTTGAGCTAGGACACTCATCTCCTTCTCAATTAATTCGTTCTGCTTTTCCTGAAAAAATGTTAGCTTAGTTAGCATAAGAGCAGAGCAGAGAGACTCAAATAAATGTTTTTTCTTCCAAAAATTATTTCGCTCAGAATGACTAATAAGCCATTTATTTGTTCGAAACATAGGACGAAAAAAAGATTTCTCAACTACAAACTACGAAACTCTAGAAATTTCAAAACAAATCTTTTCCTTTTCTCATCGTTATGTCGAATCATTTGTCAATACATTTTGTCCGCAAGTCATGAACCCAACCTCTCTTCACAAAATATATTTCTTCTTGATTTTTTCGTCAGACAAAATTCTTCCTCGAGATGAACAATGAATAAAGCAAGATCGTGTTTAAATGTGTAAAAATCAAGTTTAATCACTCTAGGCTCTACTCGGTTGTTATACAAAGCAAACTCAAAAAGCAATGAAACGATTCGAACTTAGTTTGAATGAGGCGTAAGCCTCCTCACAATACCCTTAGAACAACATTCATCATGTCAAGTAAACTAACACTGCCCTTCAAGATGATCTCATGAAAAAAAAATTTCAAAAAGAACATTAAGCATGATATGTTCAGAGTACAGAGAAAAAGGTCATAAATCAGATAAATTACTTATTGAAGCATTCCATTTCCTTCTACAAAAATGATAAGAGGGATTGAGGAGAGAAGCAAGAGAAGATAGATATAATCATTAGCAATGGGATCAAAAATTGCCTTCAACTCTCTTCTCCAAATAAAAAATTGAAAGTCGAAGGTGTTGCTGCTCATTGACATTCTCGTTTCGGCTGAGAAAGAAATTTGGAAATTTTTTATTTCTCTCTCAGCAGATGTTTCTGTGATCCTGCGAATGAGGGTGGGAAGAGAGACTCTCCAAATTAAACATGAAAAGGAGAGAGAGAGAGAACTAGATGGGAAGGAGAACACGAAAGATATAAACTATCATAGGAAACAATCCGAGAAAACCTTTGAGCTTCAATGAAAAGCCAGAAAAATGGAAAATGCTTATCAAATCAAAGTGTCAAAATATGCGACAAAAACCAAACTGCCAATCAGTATTGATAAATATCATCAAATCTTAGTAATAGTACTTCATAGCATTATATATCGTTTTACTATACTTTTTGCCATTTCTCTCCATGATAATATGAAACGCGCGCTTTTCGTTTTTTAATTTTCTCAATTCAAACGATAAGTTAAGCGCATCTATGTACGCATTTCGTGAAATGCTTAGAGGCTGATAATCTGATATGATAAATATCATATGATATATCAAATATAAAGTAATTATTAAGGTAATTTGTTTTATCAAATGCATATCTTACCTCCCAGTGGTTGTCTTTTATTCGACGAGGTCTTTTGACGTCTCTCGGAGGGACACCTTGAGAAGCTTGACGACTATGGCTCCTGCAAGTATAAAATATGATTCATGGTAGTATTAAAGAAAAGTGAAATCTACAATAGTCTAGCAGATTGGGAATAAGCAAAAACGTATTATGCGAACAACCGCACGTGGCATCTCGCAAAATTTGAATGAGCACAATTGATTCCTACGTAATTTACGTGACTTTTCACGTTAAAAAAATATTCTAATGAGGGTTAAGCAAAGAGTTGTTTGGATAAGCTCCAACAAAAAAAAAGAATTGATTGGTAAAGAAAAGATAATATCAGTTTGAATGATTACATTTATTTTCTTTTGTGACGTAGAAAAACAGCTAAGCATTGTGAGAGAGGGTCTTTTAAAATGCCGAAATATTTAGAAATTACGAGGGAAGAACAAAAAAAAACATAACATGGCGTGTTTGAAGAACAGTTATACTTACCATTTCATACGTCTGGCTTTTGGTGGAGCTCCCAAATCTCCTGGAGCTGATCGTGTGTCAGCGTCATCATCTTCTGAGCAACTCATTTTAGGAGTTACTTTACAGCCATTCGACAAGCAGCCGTTGCCGCCGTCAGCATCCTCTTCGAAGCTCATGAGTTAGAAAAAGCTCACGAGCTTATCAATTGGGCATTAACCCTGTAAACAGAAATATTAATATGAGAACATTATTTTCAGAAAAAAAAAGAAAGAAAGAAAGAAACATAACAAAAGAGACAGAGAGAAGGGCAGCAAAGGATGCGGATGTGAATATACAAAAATAAATGATCGCTGTCATGATGTCATCGACGGATATATGTGCTCGTGGAAAATCGATCAATGAGGAACGCAAAATTTTAAATTATCGCGTGTTTTCAATATAAAAAAAATAATAATGTGTTAAATTGGGAGGAAAAAAATGTTTAACAGAAAGTTCAAAAATATCTGTGCAAGATCATAGATCATAAGACAGAATGAGATGTTGTGATGCGATCAAACTATAAACAGTAAGTTGATTGTAATCCGAAGCTACAATACTATCCTTACAACCTTTTTTACATTTTCTACAAACAACAATGAATGCGTACAAAATGCAACTTTTTTTCTTTTCGTTTCTTTGTTTTCAAACAGCTAAAATAAGTTTTCGAGGAGAAAGAAATTGAATTGAAAACAAAAAAAAACATGCGAATTTATCATGAGGCTTGTGATATTTCATGAAAAATTGGCTCAGAAACAGTGAAAAGCAGCAGCAGCTTCCAGAAAATTGGCGAACATCTGGTGAATTGAACTAAACGATGACAGCTCTCACAAATAGATTATTTTCATTTTGACAAATGATTTCTTCTTATGGTATGGAGTTTCAAAAATAACTGCGAGTGAAAATTGAAAAAAAATCTTCTTCTCCCTTTTTTTTGCTCTTTCCGCTCCATCTCCCTCACATCATCAACATCCTCCATTCTCTCGCTGCTTTTACAACTCTCTCTCTTCATTCTCGTTCTCTTTTGTCCTCATTTTATCTTTTACTATCTATGTCAAACAGTATTATGCACTTTGTTGATTTGGAGTGAAAAAAGTTGAAAATAAAATAGAAGATGCAATAAGATGTTCCATATACGTATGTATAGTCATTCCCTCAGGAATAACTAAGTTTAGCTTTTTGCACTTTATCAGAACCTTCATGTCATTTGATCATCTGGGAATGAAGAGAGTGACAATTCGAAAGACAAAAAAAAGAAAAGTTAAAGAGTTTGCTTGAGAAAAACTATAAGCGAAAACTAGCCATTCATTTGAAACTCTTCTTCTCAATATATCCCCTCTCTCTCTCTCTCTCTCTCTCTCTCTCTCTCTCTCTTTTCCTCTTCTTCATTAACATTTCCTTCTCCTCTAGTTGCTCTTTAGATTAAACAGGACACGAGATCTAATGGAAATGAACGCAATACCAATTCCAGCGAAACAAAGTTATTGTCTTAAAATTAATACAAAACGAATATTGTCTACAATAAAGTCTGAACAGATATGTAGTATGTAGAGCTCTGGGAGCTCCAATAGCCTTGACCAATGAATAAGATATCAAAATCACTGAATGGTTCGTTCTATGATTTTTATTCGAAAGAGATCTTCAAACTTAAAAGGGATTGAGAGAGAGAGTGAGACAGACAAGAAGACAATGAGATTGTTATCAAAAGAGTGACCCACGTGCCAAGGAAAAATGAGGCAATGTCATTTCCTTGATGGAATGTTTTTGAGCTTTAAACAGCAAAAGAATATTCCGTTACTCCAGATCTTCATTTAATGGGATGCAGGGGAAATAGGGAGAGAAAACGTGGAAAAGAAGAAAATGAATAGGATACAGTGAGAGGCAGAGAGGGAGGAATGTAGAGATATAGAAAACGCAACCGTTCACCAATTCCATTTTAGAGCAAAATGAACCTCAACAAAAGCACGTGGACGTTACGTGGAATTAGAATGAAGAATATAATGAAAAAAAAAGGATGGCCCTGGTATGAAAAGGGTGATGGATGAGATGAAAATAGAGGAGAAATAAGCTTTTATGGAAGAAAAATAAAAAATACGAGGAAAGATGTACAATTCACAAACTATTGAAGCGTATGAAATAATGAAAAGAGAAAAGACCACTCCAAAAAGGTTTGGAAATACTCTGATTGCCTGAGGCACATGCACTAAATTACGGCAGCTGGAAATCATAAATTCACCATTTTCAGTGATTCAAAAGAAAAAAACGAATGGCTAAGTCTTAATTCAAATAGAGATATTTCATTTCACCATTCTTGATGAAGCGAAAAAGACTGAAACTCACCAGGCTGAAAGATCAGAGGAATTTTGAGAATTCAGAAAGGGATCAATGAGCTTCAGAAAGCATAAATAATTTCATTAATGACTGGCTTTTAAAATTCACGTAGAACATTGAAATTCTCTTCATAGACAAAAATGCAACATAGCTTGGACACCACAAAATGGCAGATTTTATTAAATTTTTTTCGCCCGCTGCTCATCATGTGCAAATGAGGAATATGTATGCCGTAGAATAGAGTGTATGAGAGAGCGATAGAGAGAGAGAGAACATCAACTATGATTTTCAGACAAGGATGTATAGTACAAAGGTGGGTAGTTGGTGGTGAGAGAAAATTAAATAACTTTTGAAAACTTAAAAGTAATATGTAGGGATGGAAGGAACGGAAAATGATGGGGAGGGAGAGACCAGGTGATCTTTGAGATTTCTGATAAAACTGGTTGTGTTCTGTAAAATGTGATTTGATGACGTAAAAAGAAGAGACGATCCTCAGAATAAATCAGTGGACGTCACGGAATGATAGAAAAACAGAGCATTCACAAAAAAGCCATTCCGAATATTTTGTTGTTGGTTGTGAAAGATAAATCTAATAAGGCAAAGTCCACGAGGGATTTGAGGCACCACCAGCATTAGTGACAGCTGTTTGAGCCAAAAAGATGGAATTTGCAAATGAAGAGTAAAAAGAAAAAGGCATAAACCCGAGAAGATAAAGATAGATAATTGAACTTGAACAAGGAGGAATTAATTCGTCAGAAGGTTAGATGAGAAATGGCTTCAGCTTCAACCTCCACATTCACGTGCTTTGTTTTCATTGAAAGTGAGGTTTTGAACCATCTTTGTACTTCTGTCTTAATCTCTCATTCCCTCGTTGTCTTTGTTGAATCGTTTCTTGAGATATAGCCTATGATATCCGTGAGTGTGTTAAGCATATCGTATATGCTTGAGTTGACTTAGCAAATTTTGCACAAGCTTGAGAATAAACTAAAAAGGACAAAACTACTCAATGAGCAAAATGGACAGACAGATGCCAGGCTTCTCGTAACCTCTCTTTATCTCTCATCTCTCTTTAGCTATTGATGAAAACATTCAAAACAGCTGAGTAGGGTTGGCAGATAAAGGTTGAACAGAAAGTTTATTTCATGAAAATGATGAAGCAATGAGATGAAAAAAGACAATCAGCAGAAAGATACAAATAGAAAGAGAGGGAGGAAGGTCTAAGAGAAGCAATGAAGAGGAAATAGGCGGGAAAGTCTGTTAGACCTTTAGATATCAATACCATGTGGATGAAATGCGCCGAAGAGTTTCAATGTGCACATGAAATGTTGCAGAAGGCAAATCTAATTGAATCGGAATGAAAAAAAGATTTTTTTTAACAGAATCGTTGCAAAGATTGTTTGAAAAGAGAAAATTACATGAAGGCAAGAATGGAGTGAAAGGAAGAAAGAAGAAGATGTGGACTAAAGAGAAGGCTCGAAATATTTTTTCAGCTCTCAGTTAATTTTGAATGCCGAGAGTCGATGCTTTTGCTACTTTTCGTCGTCGAGTTGCATCAGCTGAATCGCAGATGCGCTCATTCATCCAAGTATATTCGGGAGAGAAAAGTCAATTACAAATGGTAAAATTTTAGATGAAAGACTTAAAAAAAGATGAACAAATAAATGATTTTCTGGGCATTAAGCTTTCATTTCATGCGAGCGAAAACAGAAAAAAGTAATTTGAGGAAGATTTCAAATAATTTTCGCATTTTAAACAAACTCATCAAAAGCACAAAATGCAGATCATGTTCTCAGGAATACGTTTCACGTGGGTTCACGATCACGAACTAGAGTGTCATTTTAGAAAAGTGCAGATGAAAGAGCGGTTGTATGCCAATAATCGAATTGGCTCAACAACATGATGAGCCTTGATCATGTGAGTATTGAAAATGAAATTAAAAATAAAAAATCTTTAGAGAAGGGTTGGAAATATCAATGACAATTATTAGATTGAATGAGAAGTGACAAGAAAAGATAGAAAATAAACAGAAAAAGGTCCCGAAGCGAACGAGGAGCTACACTTAAAGAGCACAAAAAAAAGAAACTGGTAAGGACATAAGAGAAGAGACGAACAAAAAAGAAGGAGACATTTTTTCTTCTCTTGAAAAAAAAACGAGACGACGAGATGAAGCAGCAGCAGCAGCAGTCGGGCAGCGTCCGCAGCGGCAGTCGGGGGCAGCAGCCCAAGCCACAGACGCAGAAAAATGATGAAAGAAAGCAGAAGAATTGTTAGATGAGGCCGAGTTTGAAACATTTTGTTCTTGACTATACAAGGAGGATGTAAATGAAAATCGTATGCGAAGATTGTGAAGGAAATAACAAGTGAAAAAAATGAAAAGGGAGTGAAGTGAACATGGTTACAGAGATAGAGAGTGTAAGAGAGAGAGAGAAGTAGATTGCGAAAGAGAGAGAAAAGGGTGGAAGGTTTGGAGAGAAAAAATTTTTGGCAGCGGAAGAAAGGAAAGATCGTTAAAAGCTTGGATACAACTTGTTATAAACTTGGTTGTTAATAAGCTTTGAAAGACAGAAATTTGATATAAACATGGATTATGTGAATGAGAGTTCTTAAATATTTTTCATTTTTCAGCTTTCTCCATGAAATTACAAGAGATTGAAGTAGTGGAGCAATGATAAAATAGTTGATAAAATGAAAAATTCTTGTGACATACCCAGTTGAATGAATGAGAAGGTCTTGTGTGAGAGGAGATGAAAAAAAAAAGAGAAGAAGCCAATCTTGAAATTGGAAGATGTGCAAAATGATCATTGTGAAA